TTGAAAAGGCCTTGCTCTACCTTGATAATCTTTGTGTCCATCCTTACCTCGACAACAGTCAGTAAGTGTCTGATCATTAGGTCATAGGCTTAGTCAGCGCTCTGCATCCTAAGTTTGTGATAGGTTCTAGTAAAAGAACAGATCTTAGAAACAAGGAGGAAGAGGTTAGTCTTCTCTCCGTGATCCGTGCCCCTTATTTAGTCACAGACCTATAGTCTGGGGTACTAGTACAGGGGGGTCCGATATCCTAAAGATAGATGAAACACTGGAGCTTAGCTGCTGCGAGCCAGGTAATTGGCGAGCTAAGAAAAGCGTAGGTGAAATAGAAAACCTAGAACACGGCAGACATGATGCGATTTAAAAATGTGAAAAATAGTGTGGGAATGTCGGCTGATGTCTTACACTTGTGATAAAGGTTTGCCAATGTAGCATTTAAACGGCAAAAAGCGCACATTTGCAGCCAAAAGGAAATGTTTTCAACATGAAATGCCATGGTTGCAAATATTTGTTGCATGTGTAAGAAATCAGTCGACATTCACACACAATTTCCCACATTGATAAATCACATCATGTCTGCTGTGGAACGAAGTCTGGATTGCAAATATCAGAGTGAGTCTAATCGTGAAAACGAAAAACTGCTAACCCTAAAATATGTCCACCAGACCTATGAACCATAAATAGTAAGTGTCACATGCAACGTAAACGGTCACGTGACCATGAAGTGCTGAAACTGTAACAGACAGTTGATGTGAATGTGATTGATTGATTATGGAGTAACATGCTGTTGCAAAGTATAATCAATGTTCTGACAAAAACCATCATGCATATTGCAATCTTCTGCTCAAATGCAATGGGATGTTTGTGACGCAAAATATACTCAAAATCGAAAGCTTTTTCAAAATGAAAAAGCTATGATGAGAGTGGGATTTGAACCCACGCCCTTTCGGACCAGATAACATGTGAATGAACCTTAGTCTGGCGCCTTAGACCGCTCGGCCATCTCACCGTTTGCAATTTTCTCTTTATGTTTTCTATCATGAGCGTTTGAATTTGCTGCCCTCCTTGGAAGCTGCTCGCTCGGTTTCTCCTGCACACAATCCTTTGTTGACCAGCACAAACACGGACATACTATTTGATTCATCAAATACACGTTACTTCCTGTGAAATAATGATACTACGCCAAGCGCAATGGCCATAGTTCCAGTTCTCGGCTCCCAAATAGTGCAGAATGTACCGTTCATCTAGCGCTATCGGAATGACTGCCGAATTCAGGACGACGCCTCTACATCTGAGGTTAGACAGTGTAGGGGACGCTGATATAAAACTGCAACGCACTGCACATAGAACAGCTGGATAATACAGGTTAGTCCTCAATAATGATATCGGAAGGAGATGGTATACTCACCCACCCAAGGTCGATGCTCGCTGCGTTTAGCTAAGCACAAGTTAGAAACGAAAGCTACGGCGAAAAGGATCGACTTGCAATGGTAGCCCATGCTCCTGCCCACACGGCCCATATGCAGATAAAGTGGTGCGAGATGCACACTATCTCGGCACTACTCGTGTCTGTCGAAAGTAGGTGCGATAGATGCTGGCGGTATCTTGAGGCACGCTTACAGCCATGCTGACACCTTTGAGCTTGCTGCTGATAAGGTGAACGAGAAGCAGAAGTACTTACGATACAACCAATTGTATAGCAATAGCACCTCCCTCGCCCATCACAACAACGGTAGCAGCAGGCGCGGCAAGACCAGCGCTCACTTGAGACGCCGAGAGACGATGCGGGTATGTCGGGAACTTCGGCTAAACGTGAAACAGATTTCAAACGATGTTGGATGCCCAGGAAAGTGGAATGCATACATTGGTGACCAGCGCGCGATCAGACAGTCCAAGGCATGAAGCAAAAGCCCAAGGGACAGCGAACCATGACAGCCCTACCGACATCTGTCGCACGATCGTGAGACATGAGCGTGAGCTCACACGACGATATTGCGAAAAATATTCCATTGACATAGGCCTTAATCGTAGATTGAGGAGCGATGGCGATTGCCTGTAACCGTTATCGCGTTAATACTGATGTCTTATATCGGCTAGATTCAAGATACTCACCCATTGCCAATATCCTATTGCAGGTCATATGTCATTATTTGAGACACGTTAGCAAAGTGCTCACCTTGATCGCAAAATACCCCGGCAAAACCTATAGATAATCAGCACAAACTGATATCTACGTCACGTTGGCAGACCACGGCACCTGATAACATCGCCGCTGCTCTAAAGACCATGTCCTGGCTCGACTTCATAGTGAGGTAGCTGCCGTCCTGGTTATCAATGACAGGCGCATCAATCCCTGCCTGCACGAGGAGGTCATACAGGGCGCCGACACCCCCTGTCTCTGGAGAGGTACCGCTGAACATTCGTGAGCATCTGATTGATCATGACCGTTGATGGACTTACTAGACATGACCAGCAAAGAGAGATATTATGATGAACAGAATGATGGTGTGTGCCCAGTCGCACATGAATGTAGCGTGGAGTCCGCCGAAAACCACGTACACGGCGATGCCGATCAGGAGCAGAAGCAAGCAGCGATGCTATTCATGCCGGTCAGAGCGTTGACTGTCACAGCTCCTCCGACTGATAGAGGTGGACAGAAAGAAGGAATGAGATACGCATATAATTTGACAGTGAGGAAAACACACGCAGGAGGGATCCACACACCACCAGTATGCATACGAAGCCATAAAACGTGAAGAGTACGTGCACGCTTGTACCGAATCGGGCCTTTGCGATCTGTTCGTTTGGTAAGTTAATATGAACTGTAGTGTCAACTAAGAGATGATCACCTCCAAGAACATGTGTGCGCCGTTTGCGTTCATCTTTACCTTTGCTGCTACCATTGCGAAGAATGCAAGCTGAATTGTACCTCCGACTCCGTACCACCTATCAACTGTTCGTGGTTACAAAGCTTCGTAATTATCCATAGAAAGAATACATTTCTCTCCCCCTTTTTTTTTGTACATTTATTTGTATACCGCGCTATGCGCGGTTATTTCTCTCCCCAAGGGCCACTCACACCTGCGATCAGGAGATCAATAGACGAAATAATGACGAGAGAGCGATACTGACCAAATTGATAAGCTGACGTGCTAGACTGCAGAAGTGTTGCGCTCCAAGTCCATGCGCTTACGCTGCAACCGATGAGTTCTATCTAATCAGGACTGATGTAACTCACATGCCACAGCATACGAGACCCGGCTTCCAGGGACCGTTAGACAAGAATCCATGACAGACACTTTTTGTGCTTACCTTTACGCTCCTAGAAGCGCTCTAGCAGGCGAAGAGAGCTTATCAGAGCTACATCCAGTACTGGAGAGGCGGAAGATACGGACGCTGAATTCCTCGGAAGAAGAAGGAGAGAAGTCAGAGAATTTGCGTTGCAACGTAGTCAATAGAAGCATGAGTGCTGCGAAAAAGAATCCGACGCCTATGCAGCATTAGTCTGAGATTTTATCATAGTAGATGAATTATACCAATGACGACGCCGTATCCGACGCTCTCATCTGTTCAATGCAATCAGTCAGTAAACTGTGAAGTAGACGGTTGTCCTTTATCCTGCATTCTCACTTAGCAAAGGCTTGAATTGGCCGGACGCGACATCGGATGTGGACATCGTGTGTGAGTGACACAGCAGCCAAAGAAGACCCTCCATTGGACGTCCACTCTTATGACATCTGGAGCTGGGCATGGTGGCATTCATTGATAAGCTGCCCGAGCGTCCACGGATAACGGAAGGCTTTCGTAGACGTCTTCTAGAAGACGTAAGTCACAGATAACACTATCGAAGTATGCATCAGACCTTACGCAGAAATCATCCGTAGCAGCTGCCTATCATAGCGCGATGACGTGCGAAAAGCAGCGCCAGCTGTGCCAAAATCTCACCGGCAACATTTAGACGAACTCAACGCACACAATCGCTGCTTTCGGTATGGCAAGCTACGCAAAGATAGTACTGGATAAGGCGTTCAAATTTCAAGCTTTGGAATGAGTTTGTGTAGCACGCTCTGCATGATCCTGAGAGACAGTTGGCGTCACTGCAGACATGAAGCAATTTGCGCATGTGACAAATGCTTAGCAAATGTTGACAGGTTTTTTGCCTTTGTGATCTCAATTTGCTGCGGTTCCTTCCCACATTCCATATTAAGTATTTGCATAATAATATGTTAGAGGCAGAAATTAAAAATCATATATTTTAAGAAATGACACCATTTTCAAACTCACCAAATACATTTAGAATTTGAGCGCTGTTGAATGTAATCATACATTTTGAATTTCAAACTATGACATGTATAAAATATCCAGTAGCAGATGAAGGTGTAATTACGGTGAATGACTTTCATTCTAGTAATCTTGGCTAGAATGACTTCAGTAGGGAAGTAGAATGTAGGCATAATCACACCTTCATCTGCTACTGGATATTTTATACATGTCATAGTTTGAAATTCAAAAATGTATAATTACATTCAACAGCACTCAAATTCTAAATGTATTTGGTGAGTTTGAAAATGGTGTCATTTCTTAAATATATGATATTAAATTTCTGCCTCCAACATATTATATGCAAATACTTAATACGGAATGTGGGAAGGAACCGTAGCAAATTGAGATCACAAAGGCAAAAAACCTGTCGACATTTGCTAAGCATTTGCCACATGCGCAAATCGCTTCATGTCTGCGGTGCGTACTGAGTCCGGACTACCATCCTGAACGCAGACAGTGCAGCACGTGACGCTTCGCAGCTCCCTAATAGGCTATAGCACGTCTTAGGGCGTCCATCTACAGACATACCCCACCTTATCCGAAGCATCCCCCTCGTCCCACACATAGCCTCGCTTTCGACCGTTATCCTGATTCCTGTAGCGCGATACGTCGGTCACCAAATAGTATTTTTAAGAGAGGTTCGGCACGTGATCGAAGCCATCAGCATCAATCCGACTTGAGCGCCCGACCGATTCGTGAACATCGAAGCTCTCTCACAGTGGTGTACCACTTGTTCACGCTGTGCATCTTCTATAACTATTCCAAAGTTGCAGAAATTCAGGTTACATTACTGAGACGACACCGCTAAAGGAGACCAATAGCCAGAACATTTCTCCCTCATACCGTGACGACGCGGACGCAAACATCATTGCCTGCAGTAAACGCGACGCTCTGCGATCAATATTAGTAGTATAACTATTCATGTTCTTCGGCTTCGACAACTCACAATTGTCATTCTGATAGTTGCATTAACTTCTGCACTCGATGGAATGGGCAATATATGACATGATAATCCGCATTTTCGACATTCTCCGCTATGACACCCGTACTCTATTTAATTGCTCCCTGGTCAACCATGCTTTCGCCGAGGCAGTTTCAAGGATATTGTACAGAGAGGTCACGCTCTCCCCGGCTAGTACAAATGTGCTTGACCTAAGAAGAAGAGACGACTTCTCAGTAAGCATCCCGTATCTTCGCAGTGGGACTCCAATGTCGCTCATAAAACTCAAAGCAAGGCATTCTTCACTCGGCTTGTATCCCGAGGAATGCGAAGCATGTCCTTTGTTTTGAGCTGAGTGGTGCATAATAGCATTGTTGTCTCTACGGAGCGAAACTCACGATGGTATTTGCACAAAAGGCTACCCCTCTCCTCGACCGTTTCCTCTGAATCCACTCTCAAAACACCTCGAGGAAGCATTTAAATGTTGGCATAACCTGACGACGGTGATATTGACACCGAGAATTTATCATCAAGATCTCCTCACCAATGTCTTGCCACTACTACCTACTCTCCCACTACTGCAGAATCTCAGTGTCAATACGTCATGCACGGATGACGTACATGCTCCTGGGCTCGTGCATATCTCAGGTCTGAAGGCACTGTGCATTCAGAATCCGACACGCGCGATTCTGCAGCTCTTGCCCAACTGGCTCGGAAAGCTAACAAGCTCACTGCGAGGCTTGCACCTTGTGGTAGGTTTGCAGTCACGCTTCAGAATTCGAAGCTGTCCAATTCACAATATCGGGCAGGATAATTGCGGCTCAATTACACCAGGCGTCCTCCGTTCATTCGTCCCTCATCTGTTCAAAATCGAGGCTCTCTCGCTCGGATTGTCTTATTCTCTCACGGATTTCGATGTCTTCACATTTCTGGAAGAAATGACCTCTTTGGTCTCACTTGACTTGCGGTACTATTTGGTACGAACTCGTTATAGCGGCTTGCGATCATCATCTGATCTTCTGGTGCGTCGTACAGCAACTCCGGCAACCGCCAAAATCTCCTCGTCTTGACCACCTGCGATCCCTCACTGTGAGATACACACCTGTGAATAATGCGAAGCATGCCACACGTCTCTGTAAATGGACTCGCATGGTAATTGAGCATGCACCGCTCGTCGAGCTGCGTCTCGTGTGTACGGAGGAAGACAGAGGCTCGAGTGTCAACTTCGATGGTCTTCTCGCCCATCTGTCGCATAAACACGCGAAGGTCCTCCGCATCCTAAGGATGGATAAGGCATTTGTCGGCAGAAAAGCCCTTCGCCATCTGTGTAGCTGCTGTGAGAATCTGGAGGAGCTCGCAATCGCAATATCAGGCGACTTGCTGGTGAGTGAGGTGCGCAGTGTACGCACGTGCCGCTGAAACCTACGATAATCCTCTGCGATCATTCCACAGCATCATTTACCCGAGCTGTTTACTTCGCTGCGCAACTTGCACACCATCCGCATCGAGACGCGCAATGCCAAGCGCAGTCGCGTTTTCTTGGATACAGATCAGGCTCGAGAGTTCATTGTTAGCTGTCCGGATCGCCTCCGGAGGCTTGCGATGGACGGCATGTTTTGGGAGGTGCGCGTATATGCATGTTCTGATGGTTGCTCTGACGGGTGTGCGCAGGGCCAATGGGTTTCAGACCCCCAGAATGAGGTGCGGTTCGTCGTACGGCAAGTGAACGCACAACGCGCTGCCTTGTGGGAGAAGACTTGATGCTGCAGTCATGCTTAAAGGGGGGCTTTTACACATCCTCGTTCACATGTCAAATGCCAGCGCGTCTAGAGTCGTGTGCAGATTACCAAAGTGTGCATGCCTGGACGTGGGAAGAAACAAGCCTATTACTTGCGGTCCAGCCTTTGCGTTTACATCTTTACCGTCCAGCGCTGTAATTAAGGAAACAGACCGCAAACCTGTTTCATATCGGCGCAGGAAGCAATCCAATATGACCGCAAATGTTGAAAGTCTGAAACCTGTCTGGCAGAAACATGAGCTCACTCGAAGACTTGAGAGAACCCCACAATGCCTAATACGGTATAGCTGAAGCATGTTATCCTCGTGGTGGTCTTGCAGCAATCAGCGGAATCGTGCCCCATGATGTGCGTGTGCTTCTCAATAGATTCTGGCCATCCGTGTGCTTCATACTCATCACCCTCGATCTTCTGCTCTGATGCTGTGCTAGCATAGCCACGATTCAGCGAATGTGCAGCATTGGCCGACCATAATGCAACGTCCGTGGCATGCACGTGCTTGAAAATCTTGCACCTTGTGCGACGAATGTGTCGCTATGAGCTGCAGGGTGAACAGATGAAGTAACACCTCGATCCTCACTCCATGCAAACGTTTTGAATGAAGAAGCACCGGAATTTACCGCCATAATGGTCGATCAGCGCGCTGCCAGCGACGAACTTCTATATCATAATTCATCTTCTCTGGTATCTTCGAGAACCAACTAGCTCATCTCGGAGCTCCCGGCGCAGACAACTCAATGGCCGGCTACAACGGATCTTACGGTCATGGGCAGCTTCTACGATCCAGTTCGCTGCTAGGAATGGTTAGGGCGCCGACTTTGCCCCATCCTCACGTAGGCCCAGTATGTCATAAACGGCTGTGGACCTTGGTGTTTCTATCTTTGCTCTCTCAGACAGCGCAAATCCGGCTTCGTCCCTCCGCTTTTTTTCGTTTCCCTTCTTACCGGTCACTTGAACATGTGCGAATATGAATAGTGAGCGAGCTTGTTACCTGCTCCGACCACTCGTTTTCCCTGATTTTTTTCCCGTAGCATAGGTGACTACTATAGAGGCTGTCAGGTACAGTTCATTTTCCATACTCCTGGCGAAGCCTGACCGTGCAAATTCTTGCATGCCAACAGCACTTCCATGGCCGATATTACTCGGGGGAGGTATTCGATTGCAATTCACCGGATTGCAGGACGAGCCAGGCACACAAGCACAGCAGAGGCTTAAACTGTCGTTGTCCAAGCGTACGTGCATCTGCAGGTATTTCTTTTCGCATAGCTGAGCCTGAATGGGCACATGTCACCGACCCGCTTATCTAGGTGTCAGTTGACCGCCAGCGCGTGCAGAATATGTTTTATACCAAGCATCCTGAATGCGAGTAGACATGCCTGGTGCTGGCTGCAGGACGATAATCTCTGTATCATTACTTACGGTTTACCTCTGCATGTTCGAGCCTGGTGCAAAACTAATGCAAGACCAATTCGCAGCTTCCATCGCCCTGACATTGACAGAGCTCACCATCATCGACGCTAACAATGCTGCACCGGACCGACTACTATGCACTGTAACAGCGCGCTGTGCAGCCTCAGTCGCTAACAAAACATGCCTTGATCACGGCGTCTCGCTCTATGTTCGATCCTTGTGACAAATGTTTTGTCTAACGATAGAGAGTTAACCACTTGCCACGACAGGCTGGATCACGCCGGACAACGGGTGAGCCCAACAAGGCTATCTGATGGCCGCCTGGCCTCTGACTCATTTACGAGGACGGAAATATCAGCGAGCCGCTGTCGACGATGCCCATGGTGCACATCAATCAGTAATAAAGCAACTGTTGCAGCTGGAGTTCGGTATCAGGAGCTCCGAGCGCCACACGCGTCTGCGCACAGCTTAGCTGGGCGTCTGGCGACATAGTGGCGCATCAGCACGAGCAAGAACATTGTCCACTTTCCCGCGCTGCTCCCACCGCTACCGTGAACCTAAGTGCCATTCGTCTGCGCCAACATTATTCCTGTCGATGATGCCCACTGAAGCTGACGTGTTCCCTGAGAGCATATGCACAGAGAGCACCACCGGCGGGACGGTGAAACACACGTACGCTCACCACTGCCACAGTTCGAATTCTCGCTGTACTGGTGACCTCCGGCGGTGGATCTAACGCATATGAGGGATGTCCAATTGCCAATGTGGGCGCCTTTGACCACAGCAGAATATTATAAAAGCAGGGTAGGTGACACCGAGACGAAGTTGCAACCCCCCACCCCACCCGCATCCGCACACGCACACTGAAACCACTCACGAACATGACTACGAACCCCGGTGGCCCCATCATCCCGGTAGCCCTCACCGACTGGGTTGAGCAGGGTATCAAGAACATCTACACCGCTACCACGGAGAACGCCTTAAATGCTGCGCTTGACGCATTCCTCAAAAGGGATGCACGCCTCACTGTGAATGGCAAAGCGGTGACGCCCCAGCAGTATGCGGCGCTGCTCCGAAGCGAGAAGGCCGGTGAGCTGAGCGCGAGCGTTAAGTTCGACTCCGTGGTAGCAGTGCCCGTCACGAGCGATGAGAGTGTGCCCCAGGTGCGTTACTTTGTATATATGACTCCTGGAAGAATTTGTTGAAATAATTGTCTGCAGACCGGGTCCGTGGGTGCATTCTACGAGGCTACCATCACCACGCACTTGATCAAGATTAGCCATGTGCAGTCGTCGCTCAATGTCGTGTGCGTGTTATTCATCTCATTCGACCTCACAATGATCTTGATGTCATTTGGTCGCGTTTAGCGTTGTAGAAGATGAGAAGCTCAAGGGACAGTATGACCCGCGGAGGGTATCGCTGTTAAACCAGGTGGTACTCGACACAGTTCCCATTGTTCAGCCTGGAGCCACGAAGGCCTAAGGGTTGACTACTGTATCATACTGTTGACTACGTATGCATTCCCTAATTCTCGCAACGGCAGGAGAGCTCGATAACGATGATGAGAAACCCGCCTTTGTAGAGCTTCGTTGGAACGTTGATGTTGACCTTTCATGATTGCAATGACGTTGAGTGTCCGAGAAATATTAATGTAGGCAGAGCTCGTTTATGCTCATTGCTGATGCAGTCAGGATAAAGGTTGCGATGTTGCACCAGCCTGTAGGTAGAGGTAACCTTGAGAGAACAACTGACACCAGACATGGCCGATGAGAGCTATAATGACTGTATCGTAGGGAAGTCGCACTGAGTGAAGTTGCATGCTATGTTGAGACCGAGAATAATCCGAGGGACTAGTATTGAGTCAACGATGTTCGAGTCTTCTGACTTTCACCCTTGACTAACGGTACTAAGAGTGCAGTGTCAAGTTCCATGATAAGTTGAGTCAGCCATTTCAAAATTAAAGAACCATCTGACCAAGAGTCTGACGAAACCGGAACTGAAGTACCTGAAGCAAATTTTAGTCACATTTGGGAAACTCTCAACGGATAGATGTGGCCACAGCTTCACAGCATGGTGCTCACGGTTTCGAAAGTTAGAGAATGCACAGCAACATACGGCTTAAATGAGCGTATCTCGTTAATGCATGTCTACGAAGCTCTGTGCCTCTTGTAAGAGTGGTGGCAGAGGTCCTTCTGCGACGTTCACCGTGACAGCGTCACTCGGAACGTCGGACGAAGTAACACACCGCAGACATGAAGCGATTTGCGCATGTGGCAAATGCTTAGCAAATGTCGACAGGCTTTTTGCCTTTGTGATCTCAATTTGCTACGGTTCCTTCCCACATTCCGTATTAAGTATTTGCATATAATATGTTGGAGGCAGAAATTTAATATCATATATTTAAGAAATGACACCATTTTCAAACTCACCAAATACATTTAGAATTTGAGTGCTGTTGAATGTAATCATACATTTTTGAATTTCAAACTATGACATGTATAAAATATCCAGTAGCAGATGAAGGTGTGATTATGCCTACATTCTACTTCCCTACTGAAGTCATTCTAGCCAAGATTACTAGAATGAAAGTCATTCACCGTAATTACACCTTCATCTGCTACTGGATATTTTATACATGTCATAGTTTGAAATTCAAAATGTATGATTACATTCAACAGCGCTCAAATTCTAAATGTATTTGGTGAGTTTGAAAATGGTGTCATTTCTTAAAATATATGATTTTAAATTTCTGCCTCTAACATATTATTATGCAAATACTTAATATGGAATGTGGGAAGGAACCATAGCAAATTGAGATCACAAAGGCAAAAAACCTGTCGACATTTGCTAAGCATTTGCCACATGCGCAAATTGCTTCATGTCTGCGGTGACAGTCTCGATTTCTGGATCCCGGCTCTGGTATCATTCACCAAATCATCCTCGAGAACTATGCATTCCTCGGTGGACTTATGATTGGTACGGCCGTACGGACTCGCACACGCCCAACGCGGGTGGTCTCGGTGTGGTCGCCTGCGGTGTCGGTGGTGCGGATGCCATCGACGTCTTGGCTAGGCTGCCTCCGAGTCGGGAGCTCAAGTGGGATCAGCGGCTGGAAGACCCCCAAAGGCAAATATTTTATATTCATGTCCCTGCCATCTGCTGATCTTCGCTCACAGATGTCATCCTCAAGGTTGCAGGCACTCTCACTCTCACTGTCAAGGGCGGTGGCTGGTGCCATCGTCGAGTACAAGGGTCGTGTCTCGAGTCGTTTTCATGCACGGATATGGCAACGATGCGTGCGATCCTTGCATTGGTCAGTGGGACAGACGGGACGTCAAGAAGAGCGAGAAGAACTCCAGTAAGTATCTGTTGCTTAGACGGTAATGAAATTGGTATCTGAACTTGTCCCCGCCCAGTCATTACTTCGTACAACCGTAACTTCACGGGCCGTAACGACGCCAACCCCGCAACCCACGCCTTCGTTGCCTCCCCCGACATTGTGACTGCGTTCCGTTCGCGGGTGACCTCCGCTTCAACCCCCCTCACAGACACCCTTACTGGCTCAGATGGCAAGCCGTTAAAGTTCAGCGACCCCGTCGGTAAGAAGCTCCCGCCAAGGGTTATGACCCGGGTAGAACACATTTCAGCCTCCCCGGAAGGAAATTGCCAGCGTTCGGTTTACGATCGACCCGAAGACCGACCGTCTCCAGACACTGAAGCCCTTCGCGCCATGGGATGGTAGGGCCGCTGAGGACCTCTTCATTCTCATCAAAGTCAAGGGCAAGTGCAGTGAGTACCCCTCTTGAGCATGCGATTGGAGATTGGGCATTGAGGAAGGATGTAGCGGCGGATCATATCTCTGCTGGTGGATCCTGGCTCAAGTACCGAGGACACTTTGAGAACATCTCTCGTGCGTGTTTCTCTGCCGTTGCTTGGATCACGTTCTGATATCCTCATTCATGTTCTGCACAGAGGACTGTCTGATCGGTGCCATCAATGCTGAGAACGGCGATGCGAACAACGTAAAGAACCAGGTCAACTGGCGAGTATGACGGTGTCCCGCAGACAGCTGCATACTACCTCGCCCGCAACATCAAGTGGGTCGTCGTCGGCGATTACAACTCCGGCGAAGGCTCCTCGCACGAGCACGCTGCGCTCGAGCCGCGCTTCCTCGGCGGTCTCGCAATCATCACCCGGTCGTTCGCGCGTATCCACGAGAAAAACTTGAAAAAGCAGGGTATGCTCGCGTTGACATTCGCGAACCCGGCCGACTACGACAAGGTGCAGCCCGACAACCGGGTGTCGATCCTCGGCCTGCAGGATTTCCAGCGTGGCAAGAACCTGACGCTCGAGCTTAAGCATAAGGATGGATCGAAGGATGAGATTCCTCTTGCGCATAGCTTCAATGCGGGACAGATTGAACGGTTCAAGGGGGCTCTGCGCTTAACCTGGTATGTCCATTCCTATCCTCTCGCGGTCCGATCGTCTGCTCACTGGTTTATTGCAGATGGCCGCGCACGCGAAGGCCAAGGCACAACAATAGACGCGTGGACCGACGCGGACGCTGGCGTAGAATGGCGAGGTATGGGGAAGAAGTATCGCATGGGTGATTAGGTTGCTAGTACTGTTGCAAGTGTATCTGATTTTTTTTTCATTATTCTGCTTTGTTTTGTCTCTCTGTCCGTCGTATGCAAGCTGTGTATAAAGCTAGAACGAACGAACGTTTGCGATAGTCTCTCATCGTTGAGATTGGGCGAGTGGTGGTGCCTGTGAGGAGGTCTCTTCGAGTTGACGTTGAATATTTGAATGTGGCCCAGTGTGAGTCCTTCGACTGATCTGTTTGCCGTCGAAAAAGCCGTTTGTAACCGCCTCTGTAGCCACCATTAACAAGAGAGGACAAGATACCTCGCATTTGCAAGTCAAGATTTTTGCTACCCAGCGGCTATACTGTGCTACATTTGCAATACATCATTATGGTGAGTCTAGCACAATACACAATGTAAGCTTGCAGATGCACGATGAGCGAGCCAGAGTATGTCTCCTGCAATCGCTTCGCTACCTCAACGTTGTCCGGGACCGGGGAAAGGCGCGATCGCTGGTTGTGGCTGGTGGCGGTGACTTGCGACAGGACTTTCGCGTGCGTGGTTCTGGTTGGTCTTGACGAACCTGACGTTTGTGTCGCTGAGGTTGCTCCGCATGCGCTGTAGCGGATGAGCAGACTCGACTTCGACGATTCGCTGCTGGTCGTACAAGGAGGCATTTATCACACCAGGCCTGTCACTCGGCGTTCCAAAATGACTAGCTTGAGTGCGAATAATCATGAGATTTTCGCGGCAAGGGCAAAGCGAGGTACGAAACAGTATATAGTCCGAGACAAGTAAGAACGTACTGAGATGGTGACGGAGAATGGATATGTTGGGCCAAGTACAAACATGGAGTGGAATGCTGTGGTACCTAGAGGTGCGGAATGAATTCTACCCAAGAGATGGCTTTGTATGCACCGGGAGGAAGGGCGCGGAGAGTGGTAAATGCGAGGACAAGGAGGATGAGTCGGGAGACAACGTATAATAGGGGAATGACGAGACCTGAAAACGTCCCTAGGACAACTATCGCTGTTCCAGTTGAACGTGTCATGATAAAGAATATAGACACCTCAAGGGCAGGAGAACAAGTGATCACAAGCGACAGTATTCGCCAAAGGTATTGCTCTATGACCGTTGGAAAATCGGAGAACCACGCAGTGCAATGGATGGTTCCGAAAATCATAGCAGGCACCGCAACTACACAGGACGCATTGAATACAGATCGGAATATGGAGAAGTCGAAGCCGTTGTGACTCCCTATTGAGGCGGCATGCCACCAGTCTTCACGACGAGGTTGACCGAAGATAAACCGCACAGGGCCCCGTATGATGATTGATAACAACAAAATGACTGCCAATACTGCATACAGCAGCCCACGATAGAACAAGTTTTTCGTGCCTCGAATGTTCTCAATCCGTTTGTGATACTTATTGCGAATGAATTCGCATGCCGCGTTCCAGACTACTTTCAGCGGATGAAGCAAGTTTTGCAAGCACGTCCTTTCCTCAAGTTGAACGGAGTGGCAATGTCCTAAGAGATCTGTGTGAGCTCTGCTGTACAGTCGTAGTCAAAATAGAGTGCTCGCCTGATGTCCTCGGCCCGGGGTGTGACTGCACTTTAGTAAAGCGCCGCAAATCACTGTCCCATAGACCAAGCTCGAATTCGTCATAAGAGCAATCTCCCTCCTCCACTATTCCATTCAGATTCGGTGCATCCGCCACATTCGCAATATTGCCCGGAGTATCCATTGCGACTGTAATAGCTTTCGGCTGTTTATGAAGCACAATTGGTACATCGATGCAGAACGGCTTCCTCAACCATAATGCATACATAGCGATTGCCATGATTGTGAAACTGGCCGTAAAAATCTCTAGTTCCGTGATGGGGAGGCCTTCAATGAAACGGACGAGAACCTGCAGCATAAACCAGAAAGTCTGAACGACTGCGGCCGTTTTAGACAGCCAATTCGCTTTGCTTTTGTCTTGGATTTCTACCTCCGATATATATAGGAAGTCCATTTTGTTTGAGTTGATGAGGTTGATAAGGTCGTCGGCGTTGAGCTGCTCTGTGCTGTGTGTTGAGGGGTTGCATAGCTCAAAACCTCCCATCAGAACAAAGAAGCCATGAGTAGTCGTCCAACCATGCTCTGCCAGAAGGTCTCAATGTTAACCTAAGGAAGCTTCAACTGAAAGGACTGCATATTACCTTTGAACTCATTCATCTGAGATATTTTACGAGCTTTCAAGTATTGACACGCCGCTATGTAAATGTAGATCTCCGATGCAATGATGGCACTAATGGTGAACCATATGCGGCGAAGCTTCTGAAACCAGGGGTCCTCTCCGTACGGCGGAATGTCGGGGTGAACAGCAGTCCAGACGCATGCGACGATGGTGGCGATGCAACTGGATACGATACTCAGGAGCGTTCGACAGTCGCCGAGTTTATCGCAAGATGGGGAAATGTCCCCGATGGACCGAACGTCGGCGATGGGTGCGGCGACTGAGCGCTGATTGAAGTAGTTAACAAGCACGAGAGCGAGGAGCATGATGTGGAGCGTCGAATGGCTTCTCGAGATGCAATGGATTATAAGGCTGGCAAGAACAAGCAGAGGGCAGAGCTCCCTAGTAAGAGAGTGCTGCGCATATAACTACGAGCTGTATGATGCTGGTCATAATTTTTGCACTGCATCGACTCGTTCTGGATACATTGAATTCGGAAGCTATGTCCTTCTGGAATAGAAGACAACCGCACGACACCGTACCTTACCCCAATTTTCACCTCAATTTGATTCTGCGATAAGAGTCGCAGATCCAATTTGAACCAAGTCGGGATGCTCGATCTGAGAATGCACCGCATACGGGCTTCTCGTGGCAATGCTATGCCCGTGCATTGGCATGCCGTCGGGCACAGCAATTCCAGGAATGGAAGATGCTATGTAAGAACCCACAGACATGCTGGCATGCGGAATCGAACGAGTAATCTTCTGTGGAAGGTGTGCTCATTTGTGTTCTACCTTAAAGAGACGCGCCGAAACTGAGAGACCGACACCATATTTGCACAGATGTGGACGGGGCTCAGGGCTTGCACACGTACATAAGCGCGGTTCGCTTCGTGAGCACGGACGCGGATGGATTATCCAATAAATAAGATCAAAGATGCCTGCGCAGTCCTCAATCAATATACAATACGCATCGTTGCGATAGCGGCTGTACGTCTACAAACCTGTACGCTGAAGCAAGAGCGGCAATGTAGACACGGCATCAACGGAATTACGTACATCACAGGACATATCAGAAACCACAGTTCTGGATGTCCGTCAAGTCTGAGAATTCGTGAACAGCAGATACGCGCATCAGTAGAGATCCGGCCTATGGAACCACACAGACTAACCTTATCTAACTTCCGCTCTACAGGCATCCCATTCTCGCAGGGACCATTATGTACACATCGTTATACGTATCATCGGGTGGCTCGGCATTGCATCGCTCGTTCTCGGATGCAAGGAGGATTCAGGAGTCGGATGATCAGGAGGGGAAGCGGGCAAGCGAGGTAGCAGAGGTCGACAATTGTCTATGAGACGTGGTTCCTGCACCGGCGACCATAAGCGCCAAAGAGATGGTGATGAAAGCCAGTCGAAGGGTGGCCAGTTCGCCGTGGCTTGTACTTCTCTTGCCACATAAACGGTCCCAAGGTGTTGCCAAAACAGTACGCGATGAGCACGCTTCGTGTGTCCCGCCACGACGCTCGACAGCCGAGAGAGCGAGCTCGAGAGCACGAAGTTGAACACAAACCCCGTCGTGCCAACGCCTGTTCCCACGGTGAATAAGCGCAGATTACACACACCGGATGTCACATATACCCCAAACACGCACTTGTCAGCCACTGCGCGTACAGCAGTCCAATTCAGTTGCTCCACGGCAGCACGTTGACGAGGAGCACGCCAGCGAGGTTTGGAATGAACTATATTGCGCGTACATCTTCCAGTCGGGCGGCGAGCCGCACGCCCGTCCAGATAGTGACGATTTCGATGATGCCGTCATCATAGCCGAGGAGCAGGTAGGTGAAGGCGAAAGGAGATACAATCATCTGTCCTTGGTTCGCGAGGTGGTATTGAGTGAGGAGAAGAGGGCGAAGAGCCACGGCCCGGGGTCAAGCAGCCCCTGGGGACTCCATGATGTGAAAAGGCGAACTAAGCATGGAGGCTCTCGACTCTCGAGGGACTGAAGAGCGCGTACTGTTGCACCCTGAAATGCTTGTTCTCCACGCCAGCCTGGTTTCCCTGTGGGTCCGGCGTTTCATATCACCGGACTAGTAGATGAAAAATACATACCTTCAGGTTGTATGGCCACCACAGTGGCATGTACCTGCTGCTTTTTCATGCTAAGGATCAACGTCTTGATCACTTGCTGTTACTTCTATTGTTCAAAGCCGTCTTGATCCCCTTTGTCTTTAAATTCGGCCTACGCCCATACTCACTGGCAGGGCATCTTAATTTCTTGAGAAGTTCGGAACCAAGCATACTTATGCCCGATGAACGGCATAGTGTCAACCACAACCGGAACCATCCAGCAGGCAGTACGTTCCACATTCGATTTAGCACAAATCAGATGCGCGAGCATACTCCTTTATAGGCTGATGACAATTTATTTTGATTGGTTTATATTCATACTGCGCCTGCACGCTGCAATGGCCGATTAGCGAACACGAAATGAATAACCACATTATGTAAAGTCACGCTTACCAAAATCCATCCAATGTTGTAACCCCGACACAAAAGCTACAATCGTCCAGTCATGGAGACCCAAGGAACATGGGAAGATCGCATGCCGAAATTTGGATATATTATATGAACTTGCCCACAATCGCGATCATTTAGTAGAAGTTATGGAAACGACATGTCGACGGTGGCTGACTCTGGTTTGCTTAGGGAGGTTGTAACCACCGATGGTCGTGATAGCGTCGAAGAGAACAATGTCAATGACTCACATAGCGTGAGATGGCCGCGCGGAGTCGATACCTTAAGGCTTTATCGTTCAACGACGTCGACGCGCTGAAGGCTAAAATCTTCGGATGCTGGTTGTTGTAGTCCCGCAAAGCAGATAATCATCATATAGAACGTGATGCTGTGGAGTACAGTGCGAGAAGATGAATGAAGCAAAGCTTCGCCGTGCATAAATCGGACAGCTAGCACTACTCGATAGAACAATTTCTCCAAAATCAGAAGGATTCTTTGCTTTCCAATTGTATAGATTGCACACTATGCAGTATAGATCCTTGATATGACAGGAAAGATGGTGTGTTTCAGGGCCTTGCAGAGTGCTCGCTACATCGATCATGGAAAAATGCTCAGCCAGCGAAGACATCGAGCTCAACGGCATATGACACCCACGCTTTCCGAAAATGCAGCTTGTGAGTGACACCCGAGTTATCACGCAGAAGCCTGATCCAGCGGCTCACACAAATGCTAGCGAACGCACACAGGCGTATCAGCACGAGAGAGTTCTATCGGTACGCAGTACAGAACGAAGCTTACATTGAACTTCTTTGCGTGCGCCATGTCTTGCTGTAGATTGCACGTGTATCCCGAGCTGTGCGTTTCACATTAGACAAAGTGCCAGTAATGCAATAGTACGTTCTTACTCACCGACAATCTGGTTGGATCGTCTCTCCCGCTGTCAGTCCTCGAGGTTAACACCGATCATGAATGCGATTATCACTTATCATCCGACCTGCACGTTTCTGATCCAGCCGCCAGAACGGTATAGTGTCCACGATGAACATTTGAATGCAATCTCCGCAGACCCATTTGTCTTCGGACCAGTTACGATATTTCTCGCTCTTGCTGGCGAACATCTCTTGCATTAGCCGGGAGCCACGATTGATTTTGCTCACAGCCTGTCCTAGACCACGCTCCGCGGGATTCCGCCTCAGTTCAAGAGGAAGATAGAATTGAAAGTCAAGACCGATGACGCCTTCGAGGTAATCCCAGTCTATTCGAGCGCGACGTTTTGAATGGAAACAACTGGCGACAACGATTAAGAAGCAACATACTTGTTTCGTTGTAGAGATGTTGTGCTCCAAGACCATCTAAACTTGTCATTGAACTGCAACTTGAACCTGGCGAGAATAATGCTTAGATAGTGCCAGGCTGCCAGCTTGTGGACACAACAAGTTCAGACGTACACCTGTCGTATCTTCCGTTCCTAGTATCGAGAATAAAACTATTCACGGGCATAGACTGGAGGTTCTCTGAGATTGATACGTTCCGCTTATCCAAAATTTTCTTCAGGGATTTCCATAAAAAGCCCTTTGTAGGCCCGTCATCATTTAGCACACCGCCGACGGTGATTGTTGATCCAATGGTGCGTTCTTCGTACGCACGCAGGATGGCTCGAGGACCACAATACAGGAAGATCCCACCCCAGTCATCTGGAATCGTCCTTAAGCAGCGGAAGGAGATCGAGTTAGAAAGCTTACGGACAAGTGTCGATACATGAGGTGTTACCATCAGCCCCCATGGCCCAAAATCCCAGACTCTTCAAAAACGTCGCCACCTCGCGTATTTGCTGAAGCTCCGAGGATGTGAAAGTGTCCAAGAACATACGTTGCCTCTCAAGGCATGGCCCCTCAGCCTCCGCGAGAGCCATGTAGGAACTCTCAACGATCTTGAAGTTATCATCAAATTCAAGACTCGGATGACCTGACCCATGTCCCTCCATGGTTGTCAGTAGCCATGTTCGATATAGCGAGGATCGGAAGCGCCACGTTTCGATGGGAGTTAGCTTACTCGACCGCGAGGTCCTGTCCTTATTTCTGCATCGTCCTTCCTTCTCTGAGTTCACCCTCATCAGATTATGCACAAGGTCAATGCTTACAGCCAACTATAGAGTCCCTCTAAATCGGAGACAACGGCGGCATTTGTAGCCAAAATACGTTCCTCCTCGCGAGTCGGTGCTTGTTCTATAACGTCGCTTTCGCTGGGAATCTCATCAACCGGGCGGTGAAACGGTCGCTGCACCTGGCAGCGAGCAAGACGCAATGCCTGTGGCAGTGTCGAGCCCACTAGATAGTAAGGCCATGGCTGCTGGTGATGCGATTCAGTCATGTTGACCTGCTGATTGAAGACCAAGTCGAGTAATGTCACTGGTTAGGCGCTAAGAGGCGGCGATAACTGGAGATCACTGACCACACTCTAGCATATAAGTAATTATAAGTGAGCCTTTAGTAGCTATTTCCCCACATAAAATGGGCAATATTGGATGGACACGTGTTGACTCCGTCGCAATGGAAAATACATTCTATGTGGCCACCTTTCAGACATGGTGCAACCCTCTCAGTGGGACCTATCGTCACCGAGTACTAGGCCAATACATAGCGCGTTGGTTTACAAACCGATAAACATGGTGGACAGAAATGCCTTCACGTCTCCGATGCTAGCCTACACTCACATTCGCACAACAGCGCGCTTGAGACTCGAATAAGGCAGAACACGAATTACTTTCGACGCTGCAATACGGTACTCAAAGATGGCGGATGAACATTATCTTGAGTGTTCCAGATCCCAATCCTTCCATTGAACTTCAAGAGATGGTGATTTTCTTCGGCGCCTGGTCAGGCGTCGTCTTCGGATACGTCACGGTCAACACGCCGTTGTCCATCGATGCCTTTATGTCGTCGCTCTGCACACGCTCAGTCAGTCCACCGTCGAGAAAGCACGGGAAAGAGAGGCAGTGCTTACCTTGATGCCTTGGGGCAGCGGGATTGCGCGCTGGAACTTGCCATAGCGGCGCTCGCGAATGGCGTAACCATGCTCATCACGCTCGGAGGAGATCTTTGACTCGCCCGAGACGGTCAGGGCGCCGTTGTGGACGTCGATCTGCACGTTCTCTTTGTTGAGCCCAGGCAGCTCGAACGTCGCAGTCACGAGGTTGTGTTCAGTGTTTTCGTGAACGTCCATCCTACATTGCAGAGAGTAAGTACGAAGCTCGACGACAACAAGTGGATTAGCAGCAGATACGTACCTTGGGCGAAGGAATCGCGGCGACCCATCCTGCCTCTGCACCTGGCGGTCGCCGTTCTGCGAAGAGCCATGCGAGCCAGCACGAGCGGAGAACGCCTCGTCGAACAGGCGGTCAAAGTCGGCGAGGGAATAGAAAGGCTCGTAGAAGAATGTCGAGAGGGACATGTCGAGTCTTGCGGTCGCGAAGGAAGAAGAGCTTATAGAGTGAAGTAGAGCGAAGCGTAGCGAGTGTCTCAGCAAATTATTTTTATTTGTTTTGTATTGAAGAGCAGAAGCGGATGGGCGAGGGGATTATATACCTCGAGGCCGCGAGCGATGTGGACGCAGACGTCATGGCCGGTATCAGCGAGCGAACGTTCGCGAAGAGACAGAGACTGTCTAGAACGTAGCACGCGGCCGCTGTCCAGTGATGCCCAGCAAAATCCAGAAAGGCAGGGAAAATTCAGGCAGCGGGCGCGCACCATACATGGAATGTCTGATTTCGGTGACTTTCGCTGTTGTTCTACCCTTCGAGACCAGCACAGCAGTAAGCCACACAAGGTGCAGGAAGCAGCTAGAAGCCACGGAAGGCAGCCTTGGTGAACAAACATATTGTATCGTAGTACCCGCTAATTCAGATGGAGTGTCAACGACCAAGGTAGAGTCCTATCAGCTGTCCGAGCAGAGTCCCTCGACCTTTGTTCTCATTTATCATTTCGCGGATTTCAGAGAGAATGGTGACCCGCTAAGTTTACCGAGGTTGTGAGAGGCAGGCGACAGGGAGGAAGAGGGTGTTCGCCACTGCGAACGGCGAGGATAGCGTGCCACCCACGGCAGACGCGATGCGATTTATCAATGTGGAAAATAGTGTGGGAATGTCGGCTGATGTACATTTGTGGCAAAGGTTTGCCAATGTAGCATTTAAATGGCAAATAGTTCACATTCACAGCCAAAGTAAAACATTTTCAGCATGAAATGCCATAGTTACAAATATTTGTCACATGTGTAAGAAATCAGTCGACATTCGCACACAATTTCCCACCTTGATAAATTGCGTCCCTCGCTGCCTACCAGCGTGGGAGAGCACGTGCGACGTGGCAGAAACACGCGACGCGATTGTGGCGCCTGAAGGCAACCGCCGCCAGCAAGCACTCCTGGCCTCCTTCCTTCCCATTGCCACTGCTGCTGCTTGTTGTGTTTCCGACATACCCCCTCTTTTTTTTAATTCAGAGGCGTCTTGCATTTGCAAACAATTAGACGGTGCGTTTGTCGAATTGATCTCTATCCTTCCCGCCAAAGCTGTGCGGCAAAATTTGAGGACCTCAGACGCAGCGGGATGTTCAGTGCCGAAAGCTATATACGGGGTTCTTATCAGTTTACAACCGACGCATTGTTTCATTTTCTATGTGGGTGCCACGGTTGACGACAGCCACTACGTGTATTTCTTGAATCACTGCGCCACCTCAGAAAAGTCGGCAGAAAACTAAATATGCGAGCGTCATGTGTCGCCTCATGAGAATGCTAAAGTTGTTACGGCTTGTTCCGCATTCTCTATTGTTGCTCTCAGACACTTTCTCTTGGACTCGTTCGCGCGTGAGCTCGATCTAACATCAACCTATTTCAGGTTGCCCCTGAAGCAGACTCATCAAGTACAGCAAGTGCATTGGACGACATACCCGACCGCCCCTCAGCACTAACGTCCGCTTAACATGGCGCTTTTCGGCGAGGATTATTTCACGATGCTCTCCCAGACCGCCCCGTTCGATCTACAGAGCCAACTTAACGCACTGCCCGACGAGACCATATACCTTGTGGATGCATTCCTCAGATTCGTCCTCGGCGGATCATGTCCCCCTCATTTAACCGACAACACTCGTTCCGCCTGGGAATCCGCGCAGAAAACCGCCGCTGAGCTGGTAGAGACACTGATCAGCACCTCGCCAGGGAAGACGAATGGCACCGACAGCCGGAAACGTGCGCGCGACGACGATGACACTGCCGCTTCCTCCTCCAGCTCGCAGCCTAAACGTGCAAAAACCTCCGAGGAAAGCGAGCCCCCCTCCGACGATCCCCCGCTCTTCACTCTCCACGCGCTCTCGCTGACCTCGCCCATCCGCAAGAAAGCTGACATCACGATCCACCAGAACACCCTCCGCCTGACGAATCTTACTACCCATGCGATCGAGTACTCACCGATGCCGCTTTCCGCGTTCCGGCGCGCGTTCCTCCTCCCCACGCGCGGCAAGACCAAGCCGCATTGGAGCGTCGTGCTCATGCCGAGTGACGTCCCTGCCGCGGGCAGCAAGGTCGAGCGAGAGAAGGAGCCCGCCCCTCCCGTCGTGTTCGGCCTCGATGCGACACCTGCAGGGCTCAGCACGACCGCCCACCACGCTGCGCCCGCACCACAGACGACTGCGCATCCCAAAGGCACGTCCGCGCTCCCGCTGCTGCGCAGCTTCCTCTCCTTCCTCCCCATTCCGACGCTCGAGCCGTCCACAGACGTGTTTCGGAGCGCGCTGCCCGGCGGGTCAGCCGCCGGCGCTGGAGAGGGAATCGCGGGCGTGGAGGCGTATCGCGGCGCGAAGCCGGGGACGTTGTGGTTCCTGAGCGAGGGCGTGCTGTGGGACGGGAAGCCGGCGGAGTTTTTCGCTCTGAAGGATATTGCGAAGACTGAGGGAGAGGGCGAGAGCAAGGTGGAGGGAGTGAGGACGATCAGTGCCACGGGAAAAACGTGCTCGGTAATTTTGAGGAGGGTGGAGGGTACAAAGATGGTCGAGGGTGAGGGTGAGGGCGAGGACGAGGAGCCGAGGGTGGTCGAGGTGGACTTCGGAATGATCGATGGAAAGGAGCAGGAGAGCATCGCGCGGTGGGTAAAGCGGCACAAATATCTTTTCAGCCGGCAGAGCATTCCAGAGAGTCGGACGGACGAGAATGGTGGTGCTACTGCAGCGACTGCCAGCGCTGCTCCTGCGGTGGATGAAGATGACGAAGACGAAAACGATTCGGACTTTGTCGCTGACTCAGGATCGGACTATGGCTCTGCGACGAGCGATTCTGAGTCCGAGGACGAGTCTGGCGATGTGGAGGGTGCGCAGGAGGGTGGGGATGAAGTGGGGGTAGAGGCAGAGGCAGAAGAGAGTGAGGATGAAGAGGCAGAGCTCGAGCCCAAACATCACCCTCTCCTTCGTCCGGGCGCGATGCCGCGCATGTCCCGCGCTGCTATCGAAGCTGCTGTTGATATTGTACAGTCGGGTCTTGCGGGTGGATCGAAGGATGCGAGAGAAGCGTCCGTGGCTGACGACGAGCAGGAGGATGAGCTGGATGAATGATTCATCAATGTTTGTTTAATTCGACGGCCCGAAAGTGTACGTGAGCATCAATAATGTAGACAGAATGCAGCTATCCAGGATATCCAAGGTTCGTCGACATCCGTGAAGGGCGGAAGCAATATTCTTTGATCTGAGATTTGGTAGGCCACGATATGCTTCCGCGACGAGATCCCGGGGTTCTAATTCTAATTCCCTTTCCATTTTCCGCATATGCGTACGCCAATCATCCCAGGTCAATGTCACACTTATCTACAACTCAATAACTTATGTCTATAACAATGTTGATAAGTGCAATGCACTGGAATAGAATGCGACTAGAAGAAAGTGGGGTCACAAATACTTTGTTCGCGACTGTCCTCAAGCACTTGGCAAATACTCACCGGCGGAATATACGTTTCGTGAACGATGTGACGAATTCCCCCAAAGCCGACTCATTTATACAGAATTTGATCCGAGGAATTCATGAGGCCATTGTTTAGACAGCAGCTTCAGGATCCTACGGGATGTATAACTTTCCTGTACCATAATATTGAACGTGAGATAAGTGCCCAGCACCCATCACAACAGCAGAGTTCTGCGCCCACCGGGGCCCAGCGGCAGACCAGTCAAAGTGCGGCGGGTGCTCGACTGGACGAAGTCACCATCTCGGACTCTTTCGCCTGCAAGGCAGCGGCCATGGATCCGAACGACTCCCGCTGCGCCTCCGTAATCATGCCTCCGTTCGCGTCAAAAAAGCGCATAAGTCTGTTCATAATCTTGTCCGCCTCGGCGATCGTGCACGCGGTCGCTGGATTGTGATCGCTGGAAGAAGACTGAGTGGTCGTATTCGCGCCTGATTCACGGCCGGTATTCTCGGATGCAGTGATAACAGCGGATGTCAAGGACGCGGTGGACGTACCTGCCGTCGCGCTGGGTGGGGTAGATCCGCTCGGCTGTGTCGATTCTGCAGCAGAAGTCGAAGTAGATGAAGCAGCCTCCGAGGAGCGGGCCGACGGATCCTCCCCTGGTTCCGGATCCATCGGCGGCAAAGTGTCTGGCAGCTCCGCCAGCACGTCCTTCTCATTCCTTATCGTCACATACCGCGGCTTGTAGTTCGACGGCAGGCCGAGCGCGTAGAGCAGGTTGAACGCCTGCGCCTTGATCTTGCGCGGCTTCTTTGTATTGATGTACATGTGCTTGCGACGGATGCCGTACCGGTCCTTGAAGCCCTGTAGCCAGTCATTGCTGAAACGCATGTCCTTGCCCATCCGGCCCGAGTCCTCCGCAAGTCGCCGCGCGTGCTCGCGCAGGAAGGCGTCGGTGAGCTCTATGTCCGCTGCTTCCTTGACGAGCCATCTGTTGAGTTTGTTCTCGACGTAATCGAACTTGATTGAACTGTGGCACACAGAACGCGGACTACATGAGCAACTGCGCAGTATGAGATGCATGTTGTGGAGGTAGTCCCATACCTCTTGCGCTTGGCCTTGTATGTCGGAAACTGCGTAGACTCAAGCCATCTCTTCTTGTGCTTCAGCAGCTTGGTCACCGTGCTTCGCTTGATGCCATATAGCTCCCCAAGCTCCTTATGCGTGAGAGTCGGGTCTTTCTCGTGCAACTCACAGAGTGCCTTCCGGTCAATAGTTGTGATGTGGTTGCGCCGGAAGACGGGTCTAGACGAGCCTGCTTCAAGCGCACAATAAATATAATTAAGAAATATTAGCATCGGACGACGAGTAAATCGACGCTACAGCCATATCTGCCATTGCACTCGTACCTGTGGACGTCCCGGAACCTGATCGCATTGATCGGCGTGCCACCATAAGCGAACGCGCCTATGGGCGCCGGTCGGTCAATATTTTGGCCAAAGAGTAGTAGTACTATAAGTACACACAAGACCACCTCCGCTTCCAGCATCAGACTGTCCTAAATTGCTGGGCCAATTGCTCTGCGTGGCGCTAGATCTTGTGCTGTCGGCCATTGTGCACTGACCCAATTTCAGTAGTGAAACAGTACGAGCTCAAGAATGGATAGGGACGGAGGGGAACTGACGATACGGGCGGCAGGAGGGCTAACATGGAGTCGTTGGTCTTGTGGTCTTGTTCTCGAGTAAGGCGCGGTGTTTGAATTCAGGGTCCGCGAAACGCGGTCACGAGATCAACGCGGTCACGCGGATATTCGCGTCAAACACTGTTCAGCGGCATGTCCAATGGTTAATGGACCGACGACTCTCGAGATTCCCGAGGAGAATTTTCGCGCTTTTCATAATCCTTAGCTTCGCAGACATACAGCACAAGGGATTATAGAGTATCAAGTACTGGACTGAAAATGACGTGCTGACGTTTTCTCCAGCGGATTGATCCAGACGAACATGCTCTTGCTTGTATCAACTCTGCAAGAGAGGCTAATTCTTACCTTTTTATTTATGATAGGCAGCCGTATATGCGTTTATGAAGCTCTGAGTAGGCAGCGCGAGCTACCTGCCTTTGTAGTGCATTCCAAACTTGCGCGTTGCCATAATTCACAGCGTCCTGAGTGGGAGGGGGGATTGAAAACGGGGTATTAATGGCACTTTGAATCTGATCTTGATATCTCGTAGAGCACTGCGGCGCGATGACACCCACACACACACACACACATTGATGAAGGTCAACCGTAGCATAGGAAACCGGAAGATGCTCCTTTGTATCAAGATACAAAGTCAAGTATTTGATTGGAAAGTAGCTGCTAAAAAGCACGACGAGCACGTGAGGAAACACTGTGTATTTGCGTGACATAGAGAGCACTAACGGCATTGGTCGGCGATGAGCAACATGAGACTCATTATGATAGAGATATAATCTCGTCAGAACCAAAAGGCCAGAATGCTTTGACCCGTCATTGCAAGTCTCAATGCTGGAAAATGCGAGCGTGGTCACCGATGTCAAAGATGGGGATATTACCGATCGCGTTCACTATCACGTCCGGCAACCACTTGTCGGCGTTCGCGAGGACCATATGCGTGTGCGAATATTCAGCACGAGAAGACAACACCACATAATGCAGTCGACGTATTCTAGATGTGTTCCACATCCGATTGGGACGGGTCGTTCAGCACTGTCAGATCAATTTCAATGGTCTGTGCATTGGCCAAAAGGGAAAGTCAAAGCTGAGCAATCGTTACTGACGAAAACGTTCCGCAACAAGAAGAAGCGTCGAGCGGACGGTCTTCGACATTGAGAAATCGACACTGGGTCTCTCATCATAGGTAGAGGTTCCTAGGCCGCTCTGAGCAACTTCCACAGAAAACCAGAAAACGGGACACAGTCACCAGTTTTGTATGTTCGGACTCGACTCGAGATCCGACTTGGTCCGTGAGTCTCGATAGTTCCCTATAGTTATTCTAAGTTTGGCACAGATTAAATTGCGCTCATTCGAGCCCACGTCGAACTCGATCCAGAGTGGTGCAGAATTTTGACGAGTCGTGGCGATCGCGAAGTGTTACTAATCACTTGAACAGCGTCCTCGTACATGTTCATAGCCAAGAACCACGACATATTGCGTCACCTGATGCGAACAAGCTCCTACACAGTCAAACGAGATGAAGCTTACAGAGGCAACGTCACCGATTGACTCGAAGATATCTTCCAAATGCATGAGACACAGTCAAACGAGATGAGTCTTGCAGAGACAGCGTCACTGATCGACTCAAGGATATCTTCCATATGCATGATATATCTTTTGCGACCGCGTCATCAAGCCATTGTCTTGATCCAAAATATTCCTCTAAAATGCCTCCGATTTTGGATATGTCCAGATGCACTGAAGAATGCTGGCAGAGTCGGTGAGAACAGAGTCATTTTGTGTGGCACTGAGAGCTAACAACTCATGTTAGACGCCCGCCCACTGACCACTGACACGTCCCGATTCGGCAAGACCGATGCTTACATAAGTCTGCCCATCATATCGTTGCTCCCGCGGATTGCGCCTCGTCCACAACGCTGACTATCGCACCGAATGGAGTCTCTCAATCTCAACATTCTTGCCAACTCTTTGCCTCCATCCAACCTCGCCAACGCCGAGAAGGACCTGACGAACAATTTTAAAGGTGCGTTTGCCTGCTCCTCTCTCATCACGCTCCATCTGACTCTACCACGTTTCCTGATCACCGTAGCTGCCGCACTCGCCCTCACTACACTCTATCGCTCCTCGCGTCGCACATCTAAGCGAGCGTACAATGCAGGATATGCCACAGCATGCCAGGATCTCCTCCTCATGATTCAGCAGGGCGTCTCCGCCGGCGACTCAAGCGACTCAACAGGGCACGGCATGACCATCGGCAGGATCATGGACTATATTGAGGCTCGCCTCGAGGCTATCAAGTCACGCGAGGAAGAGGAGGATGAGGACGAGGAGAAGGAGCGGGAGCGAGCGAAGCCGACTGCCACCGCGAGCAATGTTCCGCTGACGGGGTCGGCGGCACCACGATCTACCGGCGCGAAGCCTTCCGGTGGCTCTGTCGTACCTGCTGCTGTTGCTCGGAGAGCAGACGTCGTGAGTACCAGCACCTTGATGGCTCTCCAATGTCCTGACCGTCATCAGTCCAACATTGCGCCCCTTACCCCGGATACCTCCTCTGACGACTCAAGTCCACTCGTGGCTCCTCTATCTCCCTCTCGTCCCTCCATTCCACACTTGCCGCAGTCTTTCCCTCTCGGTCTGCCCCTCCAACGGACATCCAAGAACCGTTTCCTCGCCATTTCCAATGCCAATCCCAAGGAGCCACCCACCGTTGCTGCGTCCTTCCCCTTCCCCGCACCCAGCACCGCTGTCCTCCCACCACCTCCGAGCGCTGGTTTTCATCTGCCAACACGTTCCGCATCTCCCGGTCTCACTCCCTCCCTTCCCCATCCTTCGTCGGAATCGACCGTTGGTACGAAGCGCCGGCACAACATGATGCTTGACTCTTCTGCGCCGACTACTGCTTCCGAGACACCATCAAGTTCGTCGATCCCGCGCCGAAGGACCCGTAGCGCGCGTGTGATCGTGCCACAGCATCAAGACCAGAACCAGAACCATGTCCAAGGCTCGGACGCAATGGATGTTGAGGAAGAAGGCGGACGCGAGCGCAAGCGCGTCGCGCGACGATGAATGGCGATCGACAATGGAGTGTGAGTTGAGTATTTGTTCATGCCTTTACCGCTTTCGTTTTTGATATGCATGACCGTCATGAGACATTTGGGCTTGGGATACCTTGCATGCTGAAGAGAAGTGGATGGTAGAAGAGCGAGCGCGAATAGTAGAAGTTCCAAGTGCATGACGGCCGACCGTCGTTGTAGCGTATTATACGAGACACCTCTTCCGCGCATTAACTTACTTTATACGTAGCATCAATTCTCTTTCCTCATCCGTCATCCATATGTTCAGTCTTACTGAGTAACGCTACTGTACCCTAACTATCCTCTTCTACTTATGTTCTGAGTGAAGCTCTCTCTACACTCATGTCTGTTCTCATACCTGAAGCGGCTGTCCTAATACCCCCTCTGTGCCGATGCGCGGGAGGTGTGGCCTCTTGGACTGGAGTATGGCGCCCGGGCACTTCGAGAACGCAACTCGCCGCAACTCGACAAAATTCGTTTCTCTCTAGTACGTAAAATCTTTCAAGAACGGTTGTATGCTGCGTTCACTTCAGTAGAGGCTCAGAAATACCACGCAAGCTTGGGTGCACCAATCTCATTCTAGATGCAACCTTCTTACTGCGTGGCGTCCGTCGCGCTGCGCTGAGCGACTGGACGACTTTGTGGCACACAGCTGTATCGAGGCAAGACGACTCCTGTAAAACTCGCTGTTCTCAGCTGCGACGGCCTCCAACGTTCATGATCCTGTCGGTTTCTGTTCCACTAAGACTCTGAATGGTCGAGGCAATGTTCGCTGACGATAATTGGCCATTGCTTGTAATATGAAGAGGTGAGGCTCGAAAGCCGCTCGCGTGGTTCAATCAGGATTCGGGTGCGGTCGTTGTGACATGTCTAAGCACTGGCGTTATCATCGGCCTCTAGGGTGAGGAGAAGAGGTGAGCTCATGTCCACTTTATGGCATTCTGTGCTGATCCTTCAAGCTTCAAAGCTTCAAGCTTCATGTGCACGAAGGTCGGCGGCGACCATGGTGTACGAAGGCGATTAGCCAGGTGACCGGTGACATCTTCACAGATATCGTGATTCTGCGTTAGCAATACCGACCCACCATCCACGCTGGCCGAATGGATGGTAGGTAAGAGCGAGATTTGGTAACGTAAAGCAGATGCAGTCCCGGGCCCACATAGCCTCGCGTCAACTGAAACTTTCTGGCACGTCGCGCTTTGAATCGATGGGGAGATCGAAGTCCCTTGGATGCGATATGCCGGCTCAATTTACAGGTTCGGTCTATATTCTTGAGTATGCCATGTGGCAATGCCTCAGATGTGCATAACACCAAGTCAGCGATAGGTGCAACATCCTACGCCAAGTCCCGAGATGCGTAATGACACGCTACTTGTATCGTCCGATGGTGATATCCGTCATGTGTTCGTACCGACGCATAGTCGCGCTCCGTGGCCTTGCAAAATCCACAAGTTGCGCACACACGACGGCCTCCACATAGCAGGTGCTATCGGACACTTCAAGCTCAAGTACAACGCTGAGACTGCTGTCTAGCATGACGTCCAAGCCACCATATGCAGGTAAGAAGCGGTGTATAACGGTCTTCGGGATCAATGTTGGTACGACTCTCAGTGCGTATCGTTGCCAAGTGCTGGACCCCCGGGAGGAGCCCCAGATATTCAGCGTAACGTAGTGTGTTTTCTTGGATACTATGACTGGCTTTGTGGATGCTGATGCTTGTTCAGTATTCCGAGCGGGATTGTGAGAACAAAATTATCAAGGGAAGTGGAGATCCCGTCGGTTCTTTACTACAGCGAGGATGGAGAGGTCTGCGCGATCGGCCCAGAAGCTCAAGCTCGATCTGCCGCTTCACAGTTGGAAGCGATGACTAGGCATGGGATACTGGTGGGCTGGTGCGTCACCCGATGGACCGCCATGTTTTCGGTGCGACTAGGTGGACATGCTTGCAAGACACAGAGCAGGATCAATTCTTGAATCCTACCGCAAAAGTGCTCAACGCAGGGACTTGAAACCGCTGAATATCCGCCACCCACGATGCATCGATACTGTTGTCATATACCACCATTCACGCAACCGGCCGCTGAATCGCTGAAGCCTGGGCTAGCGTGGCTCACGAGAAGTGGTACGGGGAAGATTCAGAACCTGGGAAAGAGCGAACACGACCCCGAGGAGGACGTGCGGGCTTGTGTGGGCCTCATGGAGAAGACCGAGAATGGTGAGTAGAGCACGTTGCTTCACGGGTGCTGATGCTGACTCTACTCAGGGCCAGGCTTTGGCGAATTCAAGATCGACACGGAGTCGATCTTCGAGCGCATCGCTCGGTCGAGAGGGGAAAAGTGACCACTGCCATGGTGGACCATGGAAATCCAACCGCATTTCACGGGGGAAAGGCGACGACCACCATCTGCTGCAAAAACGGATTCTGAGGTGCTCGAGGGTTTGATTGGGGCAAGACCCTCACATCACTTTGCGTTTGGTCGGTTCACTGGCCTCGCCAACGCTCTTGGATGTGAGTGAAACAACAGCTCCACAAACCACAAAGTGTTGTGCTCACTCATCTCTTACAAGGATCTCATCAAAGCAAACAGCGACTCCACGCCTCCAACGTTTCCTCCTGAATCTCCCTCCGCTCATATCGATGAGGTACTCGCCACACTCGACAACCACCTCAGCACGGTGCGTGCAGCGCTTCGTCAAGGAGCGCACTGATCACCTTCATGGGCCACTCAGATCCGCGCCGCATGGTTGAGCTGAATGCGCGCAACGCGGCCTTCGAGAGCGCTCTCGAGCAGGGAAAGATACCCGAGTACCTTGACAAGGAGATGTGGGGGATGAGCGAGGACGCGAGGGCTCTGCAGGAGGAGACTGAGAAGGTGAAGCGAGGCTTGCTATTCGTAGGGGTCAAGGATGCTTCGTAGTTTTGCTTGTTGAGTTTTCGTGTGTCTTTTCTGGACGCGTTGTTCGTGCAATTGCATTTTACGCTCGCGGTAGTGTGTCCTAGTCCTGACGTTGTGCCGTTAACGCCTAATCCATTCATGCATCCACACTGGCCATGGTGGGTGCTCGTATGCGTGCCTCTTGCTGCTGTAGTAAAAGAACGGCCGTCTAATGAAATCCGTGTGCAAAAAAGTCGCACCTAACAATCTCCTGGTTACGTAAGCTGAAACTTCGTCGTACCTATCTGACGACGTTTATCTTTTCACGAAGCTAGCGTCTTTTGCTGCATTATTTCTTACTTATGCACCCTGTACAGTGATCCACCCTTAGTCAATGAGACAAATCCACCTGGCTCGCCTGTTCCTGGTCAACAGCTACCTCCACCGGTCTCTCAGACCCAGCTAGCGAGCATCATTGCACAGAGTCAACAGTTCCAATTGCAAGCCAGCCACCCCCCCCCTTTCCCCCCACTGCTGTCGGTTCTGGCACAGCATCTAGCGCAAGCAATATGAACCCCATCGGCCAGTCGATGCAGGGTCACTCGACATCAGACGCGCCGCCGTCGTCTTTGACATCGCTCTCGTTGTTGAAAGAACAGACGAGGCTGCTTGAACAGGCCATCGCCCAGGCTGCCCTTGCGGCGCAGGCGCAGGCAGAGAAAGAGGCGGCGTTGGAGAAGAAGGACGAGGGATCTGACTTCGAGGAGGAAGAGGAGGAGGAAGAGGCGTGCTGAGGTGGGATCATTGATCGCGCTAGTTCGCTGCTCTTTGGTCTGTTCATCGCTCAAATGTGGCATCAGGAAGGTATCGTCTGGATGGTTCGTATTTTTCCCCGCATGCATCAGACTTGTGCGCACGGGTCCTTCCTCTCCACGTATGGTGACCACTCTCAGCCACACGGGCACTGGCGGGACACCGCACTGAGTTGTGGCAGCAGGTTATCCGAGCAGTGTCTCCTCTGCAATGTGTGGCACCTCATTTGTTGATGCTAGTGCTACACGTAGGTGCTACAAGGAGGGGTTGGGGGTCTTCCATCAGAGAAGTATCCCCCAGTGTACGCAAATGCTACATTCGTCCTGCATTATCCCGTCCTGCGTTATCTCGTCCATTGTAGCTGTGCAGCTGCTAATCCTATGTGGTGCATGACAGGGCATGATTGGGAAGGTCGGGTGCTGCTACTCAGCTGATCGGCTCGTTGACAAGGGTCGTCTCGTGGTTGCTGGTTTCGTCAAATATCTTCACCCGGAAGGCACGCCATTGCCTCAAACCTAGTACAGGCCAAGGAAGAGCTTGCTCGATGTTTTTTCCGCCCACTCTTCCCACTCTTTTCCAAACTTTTCTTTCAACTCGCGGTCCTCCAGCCCGGAATGGACGGCCACGGTCGCCAACAACGCTGCCATGTACACGACACCCGCCAGGACGCAGATGCATCCCTGCGGCGTGTACCTGGCTCTGCTCTCGGACAACCACGAGCCGCGCCCGAGCTGACAGAGGAGGATGCCCGCTGTTCGGAGGAGACTGCCGGCGTAGGCGGGGTGGCGCACGACCGTGTACGGACCGTCGGTGATCAGGGCGTGCTCCTTGCGAATGGCTGTCTGGAAGGAAAAGAGTTGGCCGAGGTGCCAGAAGCAGCCTATGCGAATCGCGCTACCGGCGGTCTCGAGCATGAATCCGATGAGGAATGGGGAGGTGAGGGTGATGGCGGACGGGGACGCGCGGGCTCCGAACGTCAAGAGGGTGAGAATGCGACGGGAAAACACGCCTGGATAGTGACTCGCGATGATAACCGTGCTCTCGCATATTGTCAACATCCAGATGGTAAACTGTCGGGCTCAAAATTACTCCTTCGTGCAGCAGGATAACGTCATGCATGACCCCACCTGAATAAGCGCCGGGATGGCCGCACTTGCGCGAAAGGCTGTCGACGATGCGGCCACAGTCCTGAACCTGTTTCGTTCCTGACGCGATGGAGAAGGGTTGGGTGCCGCGCTGGAGACATGGATTGCGGCCGCGGCGACGAACAGCATGGGAATCTTGAGCAGCGCAAGAGCCATTATGGTAGCAGAGCTCGCAAAGGAGGCGCAAGATGTGAGTACTCTCAAGTATATAAGCATTTAATACGCTTTGTATCGGGTGCGCACAGTGGCGCTGTACGGCCGCTTTTGATCGTCGCAAGCCTACATATGACGCCGACCGCAATGGACAATGTGCATCCAGCTATGGATACCCGCACCATCAGTGGTGGCCATGTGAGGGACGTCTGCTTCCGATATGAGGAAATCGGCACAGCCGCAGGACAGCAGACTGAGAAGCTCGGTTATCTATCACCGCGTGGCAGTAGCTTTGCTGACGACTTGCTTCCATGCCTATCATAGACGCTGCGTCGGCGCGCACTGCAACTACTGGCGAACATGTGGACGAAGCACAGAGAGCTAACCCAGCACGAATGAGCAGACAATTCGTGGTGTTTGTCTCATCTTCACTTCAACCCGTACGCGTCTTGTCTTCTTATCATGTGTCGCGTATATCGTCTCGCATGGGCCGTCATCGATTCATCGTCGGAGGCTTTACTGCGATTTACGTAACATTCACCCGCGTCACATTGAGAATATCGCTCACTAGATAGAAACCCATTGTGCCTTGCACATGAATTACCTACTTGAACGTGAATACAGTCCCCGAGGTGGGTCGAATTGAATCGGTAGCACGAACCCAATTGAAGGTGGCCCGGAGATCTGTTTAATGTCGATGGCTAAATATCACAGGTAAGCACAAGCAGCTGAATCAATATGCCGATCTGCAGACTTCAGACAGTGATTCAATCTAACTGACGGCGACATCAGATATGACCATTCCAACGCAAAGCTTTGAAGCTCGATTAAACCTGATACACCTCAAAAGGTGCAAGGTTGACGTCGAGTAACGCGTTCCCCGTTGCACCTCTTACAAGAGCCAAACCTTCTATTAACAGGTTGTTCGGGCTCTTAACTTTCCTTCATCCTCCAAGTTTTCACCTTTGACATGTGCTCCCGCCATGCACATCCCGCTTCGCCGAAATTGTTCTTCTCAGAGCAGATCCCACATGACAAGGCAAGTTGCTGAGGTGGCTCAGCCGTATAAAATCTCACCTGTCCTCGTCAAGCAGTACTACACACAACTCTCCCAACATGTCTCAAGTCTACAATCTAGACATCGTCGGCGCATTCTACGGCAACATGGACGTCACCTCCAAGGTGCGCCAGCTTTACATCGACGCCGCCACCAGCAATCCCAACAATAACTCGTTCTCGATCACCCCGAGCAACACACTCTTCGGCAAGGACCCCCTCCCAGACTCCTACAAGACCTGCATCGTCGTCTGGCGCGCCATGCTCCCGCTCTCCACCAGCGTCACCCCCCTCCGCCGACCCGCTCTACAGTACCTTCCAAGCCTCGGCCGCCGGAGAGAATATCGCTCTCACAATCAACTACGACGGATCCGCTCTCAACCCGTTTACGCCCACCTACACCTTTGGCGAGCTCATCCTTCTCAACGCAACCTGGTACAACATTGATGTCACCGCGCAGACCGCGTGGCTCAACCGGAACGCAACCTCCACCTTTGTCGCGCAGATTCCTTTCCCTGCAGGCGTGCTGCCGCTCATCACCAACCCCCAACTGCCGAGTTACATGCGCACGCAGCTCATGCTCACTTGCGCATACACGCTCGCTGACGGCTCTCTCTCCCTCGCCTCGATGGCCATCCTGGATGGCGAGTCCATCAGCATCCCCACTGTCGCACCTCCGCGCCTCATCATCCACGCGGCGAATTGAGGCGGGCTTGACATTACTGAGAGCATACGCAGCATGGTGCAGTGGAACCAGACGCTCAGCGTCAATCCCGCGAATTATCAAACTTGCGTCTCGCTTTGACCTGTACTCACTCAGTGCTGACGGTCCTTGCAGCTACGGCTGGACGGACCCATGGGTCGGTGTTGTCAAGACTATCTCGATCCTTTACCAGTACGGCGACACGCCCATGCAATGTCTCTTTGGCAACGACGATTCCGGGAGCCTCACCATCACGCCCACCGACACACCGCGCACCACGTTCGTCAACCCCCAGCGCGCGGGCGGCACAAACATCATCGCCGTCATTTGGGGAGTTATGTCCGGCGGCAAACCCGTCGCGCAGAACGTCATCGAGTCCATCATCTCCACGGGCACCGTCGTATGCACGAACGTTTTCTTCGGGTTCGACGGCGAGCCTGGTATCGGGAAGACTGCCCAGGTGTTCTTCCAGTATGGGCTGACTAGCACGATTCAGTGTGCTGTTGGGAGGGAACAATCGACGATCACCCTCAAACCGCGCTCGCTCGCGTTCAGCGACCCGCTCCTCGGTCGCGGGTTGCTCCACTCGGATGAGACGAGTACCGGCTTCCGCGTGCGCTCGCCGGCGACGGGCAAGTATTGGACTGTGTTTAACGATCAGATCGTCGCTTCAGCAGCGGACGCGTTGACTGCTGCCGTCTTCACTTATGTACCCACTACAGCTAGCACCGATCCTGCCCTTGCAGTCTGGTCACCCTGCGGCCAGCTGCTCGGATACGCGCTCGCAAAGACCGAAGGTATACAGTACCATATAGATACTTCATGGAATTCTGCTCATTTGCGTGGTTGTAGGCTCTCCGGCCCTTGTGGTCCCAGTACAGTCCCAATCCTCACGAGTCGACTACGAATTGCCCGCCTCCTGCGGCTCGAGTGTGCTCCTCCTGAGCCTGACGCCCCCCTCCGCCTCCCGGCCCACTATACTTTCCGAGGCCGCGAATGGACAGATCCTCGCCGCGAGCCTGGGCACCGCACTTGGAAACCTCGACGCCTCCAAGCTTTACTTTGAGTGGGTGCCCGTGGCCAATCCTCCTACACTGGACGCCGCGGTGCTTGCAGACCTGCTCGATCCGTGCGCGGTATCCACTTTCAGCATCCTCGCCCACTTCGTCTGGTCGCTCCCGAAGATAGATATTGGCTTTTTCGGGACGGGCGCGCTCCCCGTGCTCGTGCAGAAGGTTGCACGGTGGTGGACGAGCCTCACGAGCGACCAGCGTACGAAGCTCTCAACAGCACTTGCCGCGATGCAAGTCGTCTTCCGCGCGAGTGGAAGCAGCGCGCCGCTGAACTCGGGCCTACAGACGTTCATCACCGAGGGCTTCACGCTCGTCAAGGCACTATACGACCAGAACGTGCTGTGGTCGTTCTTCAAGTGCCTGCTCACCGACTGGAGCTGGTTCCAGACTGGCATGCTGCTCGCGAACCTAGCCAAGTATGTGCTCAACGTAACCGTTAACTCGATCGGCGACTTCACGGTCCTCGCCACCCCGCTTGCCTTATGGAACGTGGAGGCAACGAACATCGTCAACGGTTGGGTCAAAGCGTACTCGCCGCCCGCCGCCCGGCACGGATGCCGCCATCCGCGACAACGTTTCGGCGCTGATGGCGCTCGTGCCGCCTATCGTCCAGTCCGAAGACGTTAGACGCCTCGACGTCGCCGAGAGGCACCAGGCAATCCACGCACTTATCAAGCCTCACTACGAGCGCATTGTTGCAGGTGAGTTAGACTATCACTATGCCTGCGGCGGTTCCTCACACTAATTTTTATGTGCCCACAGGCGGAGTTTTCCCGCCTTCCGTTACCGACCCTTTGACCCTTCGATTCAAGGCTGTCAGGTTGCTTGAGTGTTCGGCTGAAGAATTGCATACGGAAGAGGCGAGGGACTATTTGAGGCTTGGCGATGCCGCCAAGGCTGCCGTGGAGGCAGGTAGTGCGCGACTGGAGGTTGCAGTGAAAGAGAAAGTGGCGGCGCAGTAGGTGCTCACGCCACTGTCGAGCATCCCAAGCTCATCGAGACGAACTCACTGGAACACGGATGGTCTTTGTGATACGAGGCGAACAGGAGGTCGTTTACAACACATATGTGATGCGACGCCATAGGATGGGTCAAGAGAGATTGGAAAGATATTTAAATGCGCAGTGTATCGCTCATTTGTGACGAAGGTGATCGGTTGCGCATGGTACTGTGACCGTGCTTGGAATATTTTCAACGTTGATAATCCAGTAATTCTACAACCATCCATGTCAGATTGGCAATATACAGATCCTACTTCCATGAAGTCTTGCCCACGAAATGAAAATTGAGAAAGACACAAGAACCCACACTCGAGACTGCGACGATCCCCAATAAGATATTCCCCAATCCCGATGAGGTTTTCCCCAATACCGGCCCCGAGGGAGGGGAGTTGTGTTTCGGCTCTCATGCTCTACTAGCGACCCTCTGCAAGTCTTGTCTTACTGCCGAAAATCCCAGCCTTCGCTCTTGCAGCTCCCTGAACATCTCGTGCTTCAAACACATGTTCCTGAAGATGCCGCTCTCTTTCCGGATCAAGATGGCGTATCCAAATCCACGCGCTCGCTCTAGCTCATCAGCGCACGGTCATTTTATCGACTTCTTGTTCTGAGTCAAGAAGTCGATGAAATGACCGTGCGCAGATAATGTGCGACTAGGATAATATTAGATGCAGCCATAACACAACATTGATGGTGACATTCTGGATACCAAGAGCGGTTCTTTGAACTCCGCGGATTATCACTTGCCAAACGTTAGCGTCAGTGGCTAAATTGATGCTACTTGTCGCTTCATCATCCCGTCTGGAGAGACCTGCGACACGCATGTCGAGACTCGAGGGTAATGGTCGTTTTTGCTTCCATCCGTGCGGCCGAAGTGGCCACAGACGCAGTGGTGCACTCTATCCTCGTGAATGAATATCGGACTATCTGTATCATGTATCAACGTTGTCAACCCTCATCCAGCTCTTCACAGTCGTAAGCTTGTGGGGGTTCGTCACAAAGACAAAATGCTTATTTGTAGCGTGATCGTATTTAATTGCCGCTCTGATGCCATCTAATCTAATCTGGTCGGAACTGCCTAATACGACGGGCTTACATAGGCTCAACACGCCGTGAACGTCGAGGAGTACATACGGATCCTGCGCAACGTGCGCTATGCCACTCATCTCTTCCCATGTCATCAAAGTCGAAGAGTCCTAGCCGCAACTCTACTCGCTCTGGGGCTCCTAGGTGGCGGCGGACTCTATCAAATGCGAAGAGCCAACAGCCAGCAAGCATCTCGCTTGTGTTTGCCCAGCCAGAACAAGCAGCCAGGCTGCCATCTGCGATCGAACAATTACCTGCCCTTGCCATTGATGATGCCTCCAGCATTATGAGTGTCACTTCGCGTAAGAGAGACCGCCTTCATTCGCAGTCGATGATTTCGAGAGAAAACGATCTCGATGCGAATGAAGAGAATGTGGAGCGAAAGCGATCCCGGACGGGTTCTATGGGGAACCCTCGTGGCGATGCGGCGGAAAGCCCGCCATCAGGAGAGAGCATCGCGACGGAGGATCATGCTGATCATAGTGAGTTCCGATTTGTTTTCGTGTTAATCGATCTCTCAGCAGTGTCCAGACCGTGCAGTGCTTTCCGAATCACCCTGCTCCTCGCGAGAGCCCCCGATGCCTATGGAATCAATTCCGTCGCCGCCACTGTCTATCCCTACTCCGAAGTCAGAGGAGGTGCCGGAGACGAGCAAATCCCCATCCCGCGGTTCATGGCTGGGTTCGCTCGCATGGGTGACGGGATACGCATCCGCAGAGTCCGATTCGACATCGACAGCACGACCGACGTCTCCGCAACCGGATATAGAGCAGGGAACCATCCCCACTGCAGCATCAGTGCAGCCAGCCCCCAACCCTCCAGACGAAATGGCAAGCGCTAGCCAGTTTGGTTCGCAGGTCCAGTGCGTCCCTTTCCCAACTCAACCTTCGCCGCCACCCACCTCGACAGACCGCTCATCTTCGTCCTCTCCTGCACCTCGCGATCCTGTGACCGGCCGTCCGGTCGACTCTCCGTCCATTTCCTCCGTTGACGATGAAGTCCCGCGCCTTGTGGCAGGTAATCCTCCGTCGGCACGCGCAATCGCCGTGCTTGAAAGCCAGAGCGACAACGCTGTCAATCGAAAGCTGTCGGTCACATCTCTGAATCCGTCCGAGAGCAGATTTTCGCTGCGCATCCCGCTCCTGGGCCGGCCGAAAATTCCTCTCGATTATCTGGTCGCGGGAACGGCGGAGCTGAAGCAGGAGGATGCCGGACACGCTGGAGCGTCGAAGGATGACCGGACTTTGAAGGAGGGTGTTGTGGCGAAGATAGCTGGTGAGTCTCACACATCACACCTACTTATCTGTTCTCACCTCCGTTGAACTGGTTTCGTCTGCCCTCAAGAAGATCCAAAGAACAGTCACAATGGGGTCACCCCTATGATGGTGATGAACGGAGTCAATTCGTCTGTAGCTCAGGTCGCCGAAGCCACTACAACTGAAGCGCGACCTCCGGACGCACAACCGTCGAATCCTCCTTCCCAGGAACAGGATGACGGGAAGCCGCAACCATTTCAGTCATCAGATGGGCCCGCCGACCAGAGCGCACAAGCGCAACGAGAGCGTAAGACCTCTCGGGCGAGTGTCCAAGGCAACAGCACATCGTGGTGGGAGTACGTTGGATGGGGTGCCAATGCACAGTCTGTTCAGGAAGAGTCCTTGCAGACAGAAGCTCCAATTGCAGAGGAGCCATCTTCTAATCAACCCACCACAGAGACGCCACCCCAATTACCCATTCAGGACGATAGAATGTCATCACCGTCACCACACGCAGACAAAGTGGAGCTTCACGTCCAGACCGAGCATCCGCCGGAAGCACAGAAAAAGCCCGAGAGCCCGTCAAGTCCAAACAAGCCAGCATCCGTATTCTCTGCACAGACGGCTAAGAGCCACGGCTCTGCATGGTACTCTCCGTGGACGTGGTATGCTACATCGCCGATTGCAGGCTGGGCGAGCGGCCATGCTTCGAGAAGTACGATCGAGGAGGATTTCGCAAGCGAGCTGGCCAAGACAGAGTCGGAGCTGGTCAAGGAGCGCGCTCTCGCCCGAGAGGCAGCACAGGAGGAGGAAGAAGAGGAAGGGACTCCAACTCAACCTGTGGAGATGGGCCCGCCCGCGTCCCCGCCTCCCGAGGCTCAGAACCCCATCTCGTCATCAATTAACAGCACTCGCTCGGGCTGGGTGTCCTTCTTCATGTCGCGCTCGTTGATAACCAAATCAATCGCCGAGGATGGGAGCGAGCGTGATCAGAATGGAATGGAGGTAATGGACATTGAAGAGGGGGAGGAAAATAGGCACGAGGGCTCGTCAAGTGCCATCGAGATAACAGCCAAGAGAACAGTTATCCGAGAGCAGATGCAGCCGTCCCCGCCATCGACGTCCTCGCTCCCCGCTGCGAGGCGGGAGCACAAGAGATCGCTCCAGGCTGTTAAGCAGGCAAACGCGCGCACACCATCCCCCGCGCCGTCGAAGGCATCAAACCACTCCGTTACGGCTTCCCGCCCCCCTTCGCCTCCGAATCTTATCCTACCGACGTGGGAAGATATATTGTTCTCTCCACCACGCTCCATTATCCCGCCCAAGCCACAAGTTGGAAAGTCGAAATTGTCCAAGACGATCGCCTTGGTAAGCGACGTGCTGTTTCACAAAGACGGACAGGGAGGGGGCAAGAGCAAAGTGACGAGCAAAGGTAAAGAGAAGGCGAATGCGCAGGAGGGAGAAGCACAATACCTGCACTTTGGTAAGGAGCTGCCGAAGGCCTTGGCAGCGGTGGGCGAGGAGCTGAATCCGTATCTGCTGAGTGGTGGATGCAGAGTGGTGGTCATCGGAGTTGCTGGATGGGCGCCTGGTGAGTTCTATCGACCATGGTGAACCAACGCTCATGAGTGTTCCGGTCGCAGGTCCGGTGACCAGAACTTTGGCCGGTGGTGTGCGTGACCGTCTCGTAATAATGTGCCGGAAGTCTCATTTGTTGCTATCTAGCTACCGTCTTCCAGCACGAAATTTGTTGACATGGCCTGTCAAGCGCTATGGCAATTTGAAGCGGAGCATGGCTTTAAATTCAAGAAGATCACCAAGATACCGCTGGAAGGCGATGGGACAATCGAACGGAAGGTTTCAAGGTGAAAGAGCTTTCCGCGGTAGCCCGCATATGATTCTCACTTCTCGTCAGGGTCCATGAGCATCTCCTTAGTGACGAAGACTGGATGGAAGATTTGCACGCGGCCGACGTCATCTTCGTGGCGAGCCACTCCCAAGGATGCATCGTTGCGACGCATCTCATCGATAGGCTCATCAGTGATGGTCATATCCTCACGTCACGAAGTGTAGATAATCTCACGAAGACGGCAGCAACGATTGCACCGGGTGGATCGTCGCTCTCATCGGTCCAAGCGCAGAGAATAGGCTTCCTTGCGCTTTGCGGTATCCATCTTGGGCCGTTGCGGTACCTAGGCACAAGCTCGTTCCTACAGCAGTACATTCAGGTTAGACTGTCGCTATTTTTCACTGAACGCAAGATTGAAGATCTTGGTAGTACGTTGAAAATCCAGCTGCGCGGGAGTTGTTCGAATTCCAGGTCGGTACAGGTCAGGTTGAGTGACACACCCTATCCTTATTTAGTCGCTTCAGAACACCGAAACGCGTCTCTCCAAGAACTACGTCAAGGCTCTGCGTAATGTGATGGATCATGGTGTGAGTTTGCTAGTCCGGTGTTCGTTGTATCTGGTGTTACAAGCTATCCTAACCATCTCGGATGCAGACAAAGATGGTATACGTAGCTTCTTTGAACGATCAGGTGGTTCCAATCTACTCCGGTCTCTTCACTGCCGCTTCGCATCCTCGGATTTTGCGCGCTCTATATATCGATGGCGATGCATACCAGTGCGTCCCTTTGTTTCATAGGTTGCTTTCCGAGAACTCATCCATGGCTCAGTTCATCAGATTTTCTGTCCAATCTCCTGGTTCTGCTCATCAGAATCATGGACGCTGGACTTTCTGATGGTGGACTTCTGGTCCATCTGTCAGAAGCGACGGCTGGCACGCTGAGCGGCGTCGGTCATTCCACAGTGTACGAAGAGCGCGCTACATTCTCGTAAGCTTAATCTTCTTCTTGTGAACGCGACTGCATCTGAACGTTCTTCTGTCGTTCAGGCTTGCAGTTAAGTACTTCTTCCTAACGACAGATGGAGATGATGCCGGCAAGGAACTCGTCGTGGAGCCATTCAACGCTGTGGTTGAGCAGAACGATTATGAGGTACGATCGATCTCCAAATTATTCGTCCCCCTCTTCATGAACAATGATCATACAGATTCCTTGGTCCCTTCGCGATATGATCGCTGACGAACGAGTGGCTCATTTCTTTGCGCGCGATTTCGCCAGGCTCCGAGATGCGTTTGACGATTGGCAACCGAAGACCACCATATTGCGCGATGTCAAGAAGAAATTGCAGCCCATTCAGCGACTTACAACATTCACCAGTTCGACAACCAGCAAGTTATGACTTTCCATGGATAGACTATAGTAATTTAGCAACTCATATACCCTGCCGTGCACGGGGTTTTCGCCTCTGCGACAGTGGACTCGCTTGCGCATCATTGTTGTACTATAGTTTCGTACCATTGACGCTGACATAGATTATAAAAATGCCTAGTTGACATGCGAGACATCTACAAACTAATATCGAGAATGAAGTTGTCGTTGCGGTCGGAATCAAAGCTAATTGAGTCCTGTTGATGCTACGCCCATTACAATGAAACCGAGTAGCGCTCTATATTCATCATCTTTCTTTCCTTATGTTCTTGTATTCTTCAAGAACGCGCTCAATCTCACTCGGACAGGCATTCGGAGACATCAACGTACTGAAACACTTACGATTGTGAGATAATCATAGACATTCGGGGGCCGAATTGACACAGGAGCAAGGCATGCGGTACAGTTGCGCACGATGAAATACATAGGAGATGGATCCGCATCCTTTGAATTCAGCGCAGTCCTCGTTTTGAACAGTGACAAATTTAATGAGGGGGGGGCCTGTGCTGCCAGAGATCGCCGATGTGGAGTGGTTGCGTAGATGGTTGAAGAATCAAGGCAGTTCATCTTATTTGACTTGCACTGCCATATGGGCTTCGTGATGGATAAATGGATGGACGTTCACATGCAACGTGTACGTTGACAGCGGACGAACAAGGCCTAACAGCGCCTCAGTTTGTGACTTCCCCACATCGGAACAAGACTGGCAAGCCAAGCTGCGCAATCGAGGATGCTGGGCACGGATTATTTTACAGGAGAGCATCCTTGAAATTCAATCTGTCACCATGAAACACCTTCCGCGACCACAGCCGAGACGATGAACACCGCAGTAATCGTAGAACCCCGGAGCTCGCATCTCAACTAGGTGGAGTCGAGGTTGATGTATCTGTAGCAAGTGAATACGGCCGTATTCCTGAGCGCATGGTGAAGTCAACATGAAAGCGTACCATGCATTGGGAAGTTCCTGAAATTGAGCGAGCAGCAAACAGCTGGAAGATATGCGTATGTAGATTGAGGCCTTGTACGTGTAGAGTGCGCCGAGCAGTGCCTCGCTCCACAAATCTATGAGCCCAAGAGATTTGGACATGCCCTATATCTGGCATCCAACTGAGCATCTTCTCCGCATGACCCTACGGCTACCCAGCATAACACCGAAGCTCCTGTTCCGCGCGCATTCCGCCACAAATTTGTTGTTGTTGTCCACAATGTGATTATACAACACCGAAGCCGAGCTGACGATCCGCCAGCCAATCCGTTCAATGTATGGGGGGAACCTTCATCAGCAATTCTACGCGGAGAATAGATGGAGAAAGCGCACCTATATATGCTATCTTCTCCAGCGGCTCCTGGCTTCATGAATACATGCAAACGACGCGCTATGCCTGCGCCTTCAGCGCTTCATCACGAAGGAACAACAAGTCCTATCGTCGGACATGTGTCAGTGTCCTTCCACATCTGTTGCACTTGTGCTTACCTGCGTCCAACGTAGAAACCTCATGGTCGATACCTTCATAGCTAATGCCAATGCTGAAGAGTGAGTTCGTTCTCTTATGTCCTGGTTTACTCATTCAGCTGACCATGACGCCACACAACGGTCGCCTAGCTTGCGCGCCATTATCCGAGGGACCTTGGGAGCAAGTCCACCTTCAGTGGCGTCCGCACTTACTGCAGCAGCAAGGCGCAGGATGCTGCAAACCAATGCTACAGCTATGCCATTCCCGGATCGGCTGTTCATAAAAGACGAGAGCGGCTCGAGCAGACCCGGTCCAGCACTAAGAGAAACACTGTCTCGCGTGTGCGCGCTCTACGGAGCAGGGCTCGGTTTCGCCAGTCTCTCAGTGCTCTCGGTGGTAGTACGAGCAACGATGGGCTTGGAGTGGGAGGAAGGGGGAGAGCTGGAGAATGTCCTGGCTTCCATCGACACAGACATCAGCCAGGCTATCCAAAGCTCGAGAGAGGAACTGGAGAGCGGTAGGGTCAGGGATCTGGAGACGGCACGAAATGCTGTGAACAGATTGCGCAGCGCAGTGAGGGACTGCCGCGAAGTTGTCAACAAGGGCATTGGAGGGTATCCCTTCGAGCAAGGAGCTACAGCTCTCGACTTCTGGAAGATCTAGTCTCGGCTAAACGACGAGATCAATTGGCCGTACCGTACGGTTTCAGCTTTCTTTTCCAACTTGTAAACATGTCAGTAATCTAGGGTCGTCCAGTGCTTGAATGATGAATAGAAAGTAAAAGCACACCGAACGTGGGAGTCGAAAAAGTCACCTTGAATACGTGCGCGAGGATTCATGCACATCGGCACGTGCCGAGAATCAGTCACACGCAGTCCCTGCCTACGCGGAAACATGCAAAAAAAACAGCACATATACTACTCGATCCTCTTGCATAAAGAAAGCATCTTTCGCCATCCACATATGATATCAATGATCGGAGCATGAAGATGATTGCATTTACATTCCATACATTTACAGCGCAAACGATTCTGTATGTAACCCTATCCATCCCAGGGCAATCCCTCGGCTAACGGATAGCATCGCAGCAGCATTACGGGTCTCAACCATGAGGGAATCCGGTCCTGCAGCGCATATGGCGACTCCTCCACCGGAGCCAATCGAACCCGACTCTGCCTGCGAGTGTGAAGACGCACTGACGTCTTCGATATCCTTTGCATTGTTTGCATTGTACAAGAAGTCGCGCATGAGAGAACCGACAGACGGTCGTGATACGGTGATATCCGCCTTTGGAATGGTCACGGAGGTTTCGAGCTTGCAAGGTCGAGTGATGAAGATGGAGATGTGGAGGTCGAGGGACGTCCCGTCTGTGACCTCGACGATCTCAGTGAGCATCAAATAGAACCACTCTGCACATTCTGCAAGAAGATGATTCAGAAAACGTGGTCATGGAGGGTCTTGCAAGGTAACTCACCGGTTGAGGGGATGTACCAAACGAATTCGACGCGTGTAGTCTTCTCTCCGCCAGATCTCCCAAGCTTCACACATCTCGCGACGATATCGTCCAGGAGGCTGAGGGTGAAGCTCGCTCCAGATCCACCAGCTATGAGGAATGCACACTCATATCTACCCAGATCAACTCCACAGCCGCCATACGGCCCATCGAGCATCACTTGCACCGCGACGCCGGGCTGCCCATCCTTCTCGCTTTTTCCAAGACGATCCCGCTCCTTCATGGCATAACGATTGAGGGCCCGTGTCCAGTCTCCCCTAACTCTAGCACTGAGGGCGAGTGTCGGCGTCTGGGCACACGAAAGCGACGACGGGGCGTTGATGATCGTTAAAGGATGCGACTCGAAAAAGCGGCCGGAGAAGAAAACTCTTAGGCGGACATGCTGGCCCGGTTGCCATCCTTCAACGCAATCATGTACATGGATCTGTGGACAGTGTCAATCGTTAGTACCGGGGACCACTTTTCCCAGATGCTGCAACGCACGAGTGTCATGCCACCATCAACTGGCACCAAGGTCGCATCCTTGATGCGATATCGCAGTAGCCTCAGGAACATGTCAAGTCCGTAGAAGGCCAGAGGTGCGTAGATCCACGTGTATGCGTACGTCGTGTGGTAACATATCGTGATCGTGAAGGCAACGTAGCCCAGAACACTGGACGGACGAGACGTCAGCGGCACGTTCACAACCAGAGCATACTTGCTGGTGAAACGTACTGAGTGATGAAGAAGAACTCGTATAGGTATCGCCTCACAAGTCTCAGCGAAGTCAAGGCAAGAATGCACAGCACGCCAAGCGCTGCCACGCCGGACGTCTCCTTCTGCTGCCCTATGATGGGAATGTCGTATACCAGATGGTTACGAATCCATAGAGCCCCGTGAAGCAGGCCTCCAATCAGCATGCCCCGGCCAGCCCAGCGATGGAGGAAGTTCAGTCTCTCGTAGCCATTTCCAGGACCCAACAATAGCGACAATACGGAGTTCTTCGTTGCAAAAAGGAACACAACAGGAAATTGCGCCAGGGCGAGAAATCCTTCCAATATGCAGGGCATCGAAGCATGCGATCAGTAAGTGCAGTGGCGAAACGGTTCAACTAGAAACTCACCGGCACGGTTGGGATTGGTGATAAGTGGAACGTGCAGGGTCATACAGGTTATTGCACATGCGAGATACCCAGCAACCAGAAGCGCTGTTCAAAGCGAACGGGTCAATGATTGCCCACTGACGCTGGCGGCGCAGTGGAAATGAACGAACCCTGTCCAAGACTCAGGCCTACGTAGGGAAAGTCCCACCAAAACAGCCCTTGAATCGTCTCAGCAACTGCATAATATGTTCGCCTCCCATGGCTAGGTTCCTTCTCATTGGAGGCGATATAAGTGTACCGCTTCCCTCTCAGATCCTCCGAGACGCCAAAAAATCCACGAAACAGCTGCTTCCTCCTGAGGGCCCGCAAAAAATGAGGCAAAGACAGGACGAATGCTGCTGCAGCAAACGAGGCCCATATAATGGAGAACTTGCGCTGCCACTTGGGATCGGTTACATAGGAACTTGGGTGCAAAATGTCAGCATGTAGCTCGGTCGATGGAACACGGGTGTATCTGCCTTACTTGTACTGCTGGAATTCGGTCGGAATTGTGGGTGCTGTACCGGTACTCGCCATCTGCGCCTTGTCTACCTGGCCGGTTGGGGGGAGAGCACGCTTCAGGGTTGAGACGCAAATACGGTGGCGGATGTCTGTTTGCTCGGGACAAACTTTGGTGAAACAGTTTTTTCGCCTTGGTCTTGGCAGTCCGCAACGCCCGCCCGCCCGAAACAAGTTTTGTGCGTTGGGTGTACTCTACACAGGCGATGGCCTAAGGACGTCGTATGTTCCGTGCAATCCACATGAAGCTAGATTGCGACCTCGAGCAAAACATTCTCTGCGCGATCCGGGGTGCGGCATGACCTGTGACGGGCTGGTACACATCCTTCACGGTGCGGGCATTGCAGCGACGCAGGCATTATCTCCAACGAATGATGAGTGGATAGATTGAATGACTACGAGTCTCGAACTCGTCAGATGCCAACCATCTGACCCGTCTGAAGACCACAAGCTACATGTAGTAATACAACCGCCAAGAAGCCCATGGGCGTCCAATCCATGCATCGTCATTAGGGAAGATGCAAGTCGTGATTGGCAAACCGCCCAAACAGCATCTCCCCAATCCCCAAACCAACTAGAATGGAGAAGATGAAGCCCAACTGCCAGGTCCTGCCACAAGCATCAACGACCACGTTCTCAGAAAGGAGCAGTCTGAGAGAGAGGCACATACATTACGACCAGCATGAAAGCATAGCTCAGCGCTGCTTGCAGTATGAGAAAGATACCGCGTGGTACGTCATGTTCGAAAACGAACGGCGGGAGTATGCGGGTGGTAGAGCGAACGACTGCATATGACCTTGTTGAAGGTGTTTGCTTGGACTCGGATTCTAGCGCTGTGACGGGCAGCGCATCTTGTTCCTGGCATGCTGGGTAATTAACGTATGCTCTACAATGTCGAAGTCAGCATGCGGGCGCGAACGACATACTAACCCAAATCGTCCGGGCAATCAGAAAAAGGCACGAAGACGAACCGTTGACTCCAATGGTAGTTCATAACGGCCCTCGCAGCAGCAATCCACCTCTCCACCATCGCCAACAAAAGCAACCCAATACAGGTTCCAACCATCGCGCCTGCACTCGACGGAACCCATCCCTGAAACCAGAGGATATCGCCCGGTGTAAAGTGGAGGTACGGCAACATCTCCCCAGACGCCAAATTGATCGCATCGTCCATCGACATATCCATGCCATTGGTGGACGCGATTGAAACTGGAACGGCCGCAGCCGCGGCTATTATCACTATCCACAGAGAGTGACTAGATGTCATGGCGAGGAGGAGCAGTGGATGAAGATGGAGGGGCGGATGAGAACGTGTGGGAGCCCTCGTGGAAGTCCTGATTATGTAATCTAGCGTAAACACTACCAAATAGGCGCCTACAGTGGTGGCGTGGACGGTCGCCGACGGTGTGCTTTCCAGGATGTTGCATGCAAACGTTCGTGCTTTGAATCACCGTCGTAGAACAATAACAGCCACGACCGAGGCATAATGCATGAATGGGACTGTAGACATTGAGATCCGAAAGGGCATGGCTCATTCCCAGGTAGCATTCGAGCTGATGTTTCGACTTTAGAGAGCGATGCTGAACTAAAGCCTCACAAAGTTGCATCCAGAAGAGATTTCTCAGGCGGTACACCGCTTTGGCCGAGCTTGTAACGTTGTCTATGTTTATGATCCAGATAGGCGCATGGAGGGACCAAGTCAATAGTAGTGAGTGCAGGTGCAAACGACGCAGAGTAACAGTCAGTGTGAGAAATCGTCATAGCTGAGAGAAGCAAAGCAGGCAAGCACGACCGTCGGCATTACTCGAGAGTGAGTGGATCGGCAAAAGCGGACTTGTGCAAGTTCAACAATCACCGGAGCCAAAATGACAAGAAGCACAGATATCATCGAGCTTCGCAAGGTATTTCCTCTCACTCGATGCTACTGCTTGTCGATCGAAAACCCAGATTCGAGACAGCGTCGAGGTAAGCTTAAGCAGTAACGTCCGTAGGCGCAGAGGAAGCTGACAAAGTTTGCAAAGCGTTACTGAGAAGGCAGCAAAGGAGCAGTCCAAGATAGTGCAGCCGGCGAAAAGGATGAGCGGTAGATGGTCAGATGTCGAGATGCGCGAGGAAATCCTCTCACTCGACTAAGACAACAAGATTATCTTGTTAACGACTCACCTTGCTCCCCAATAATTCCTAGCGAACAGCCACCTCCATCCATGCAACGACACTGCGAGACAACGACACTCATAGCTCCCAACCACCGTGAGCATTTCCGCGAGGATTGCATAACTGTCGGACCCGCAGTTGACAGAGGCGGCCAGTGGACAAGGTAGCATAATTATGAAGGAGTACGGGCATGATGATGCATTGTAGTAACGCAGACATTGAGGTGGTCAAGAGCGAAAACGACGCAGCTCTTGCGAGGTGAACATGCGCGATTTGTGCGGAGGATGTGAGCTAATTTTGTGATTGGTCGCATCAATGCGGAGCTTGAAAGAATAGATCGTTCATCTCGTGCGAACCAGATACCATTTGAGTCTTAGGTGGCTGCGCATATGATGCTACATGCCAGAGAAAGCTGCGTTACAGAAAGACCACTAGAGAAACAACATAAAAAGGCACACATACTGGAAATTTTGACTGTTGGTGGTCTACATGCTAAAATGCTCTGAAAGAAGATATAGCTCTCCGCCGTAGACTAAAGAAATATTCGGGAATATAGTCCTTTCAACAGAATCCTAGGTCAACCTGAGCGGAAGCACCGTCCTGATAGAAGACATGAGCCCCTAGGAACTCCCTCAGAGGATATATTTAAAGTCTGCGTAGGGGAGACAAGGAACGATCATCCTTGAGCTCCAAAGGACTGTAAGTCATGTCGATCCAACTGCCGCGCGACATCCTACTAGCGCTGTCCAGTTCTACCATCCCAGCTTTGCGCAGCCTGCTTGTTGTCGGCTCGTTCACGCGTGCTACCTCGCTCTGCAAAGGCGTGTTTTCCGAGACCAGCCACATGAACTGAAGGACGCCCATAGCGTCCACGGATTGGAGATCGACCCCTTTACTTGCACCATGAGTTAAGGCAATTCCGAGGATAAGAAGAAGCACGGAGGCGCTCAGTCCGAATATAATCTGGATGGAGTCGACTAGGTGAGCGGGGTGCTATCCATTTTCATTTATAACACGTTGGACCTACTGCTGTCAAATTGAGCTGAAGGTGAGCATTCATTGTGTGTTAGCTATGAGGAGTGAATGCTGAACGTTGATGGAAAACGAACGTTCAGGCGAGACATTGTCAACGAAGCGCTGGTCACCCCGCGAACTATTTCGAGGTAATCACCTCGGGTGCTGTCCGGCAGGACATGAGTCGCTATGACGATGTGATCGGAATGAGGGAATCCATATTGATCTATAAAGCACAAACCTGCCCAGAACAACGACGCTGTCAAGTCGCCTGGAGAATGAATCACGGTAAGTATCATCCCGCACGAAACGAAACGAAGCATTGTCTACCTAGGGCATTTTCGAACTGCTTCAGCGTGATAGCGCTCGTGTTAGAAGCTGCAGAGAGAACCTGCATGAGGTATCTGTCAAAATAAGTCAGGCTACACGGCCACTTCAAAAAGTCTCCCACGCAACTGTTCGGTTTGAAGCGCATCGATATAAGGATTCCCGGTGCTTTTCGACGAAGTAGTGGCAATCGGATAAGTACCACTCTGAGCGCTCTCGAGCATGTCCGACCACTGTTGTAAAAATCTTGGATTAACTCGAAGTGGAAAAATTAGTCTGACGCACTGAGTCAGTCTGGAGATTCTCATATTGACCCGCGTATGCCTGTATGGCAGGTGCCCATGCAGCCCAATCTGCTGACCGGCTAGCATCTTGCTGAAGCGCGACCACATATCTCGTGCTGGCATCGACGATTGCGTTCATATGCTGCAACGACATCGTGCAACCAATAATTTGAAGGTCTGTATAATTGTAACCTGTTTAGGTTTTCATGAGTAGACAACAATCGAAGAAAACAACGGAACAAGCCTGAAATATAGGAGCCGTTATGCCCCGCATCATCCACAACGTTGAACGTCGTTACAAAAATCGCATTATGGCCCTAGGGTCTTTGGATTAGTATTGGCTGTTATGAACACCGGGAGCTCGCCCACTTGTATTAACGTTGCATTCTCAAGCTCATCGTACCACGTATACTGCTTAACAGCTTTTTCTCCTAATTATAAGCTTATGAGCCTTATAAACAGCAGTATGATTACCGAGAGCATACTGAATATACCGTCTAGGCTAAAACTGATATTGTACCCGTTGTACGCCGCATCCACTGACCATATATACTCATCCTCAGAATTTTGCATCGCGTTGGCGTTCGATATGGTGCCACACGTTATGTTTGCTGTCGTGGCACCGACTGTGACGTTTCCGATCCCGATGTTCGGATCCAAAATGTCGTAGACCGAGCTGTTCTCCAATCCCAGGGTTGACTGATGTCCAACCAGCACAAGATATGGTAGTAGTTCGCAAGCAGCGGCCCAAACGTCTAAGGGGTTCGTAGATCCTGGGCTGGAACAAAACTTCAATTCAGCACACCAGTGACCAGCAACAAGAGTTGCACATACGTGGACGTATTTTGAACCTGCGGCATGCCTCTGGTAAAATCCACGTGCACAACACTCGTCTGGTTGTAGGCGGCCATTGAGAAGAGGGACGGAGTACTGATGTGCAGTACCGAGAGGCAGAGCAAATACACGGTCACGCCAGAGGTGCCAATTACCGCCGCCGGAATGAACAGCTGCCTCCATAGACTCAATACTGCAGAGCCTACCCCGGTCCAAGCGCTAGCGACGTCGTGGATTGCAGTGAAAGTGTGGCGACGCAGTATCAAACTCTGCAGAGCGAGGCGTTGCGTCAGGAAGAGTAGCGCTGCAGTATACGCCTGCGATAAATCGTTGAATGAACTTGAGCACTACAAGAATAAGTGAGTGTGGCGCAAGCAAAAACGTACTATCACGAAGATCTGGGACGCCACAACGATGCGCGTCGATACATTGCTACCTTTTTCCAGCGGCACAACGACAGCATGCTCATAATGACGAGCCCAGATGAGCACTAGACTCGCATATAAGAAAACGAGAAGAAGATGCAGCGCAATGGAGACAGAATGCCATGACTTTGAGAATAGTAAGCCTTTCATGACGCCGCAAGATCGGCAAGTCGGACACGATGGGCAACTTCAGGTCGACCTTTTAAATGTGCTGGCCACGTTTGCGGACAGAACACCTTGCAAATATTGCAGCAACATTATGTAGTGCCGAACGTCCCAACGTCCTTCTCGAGGACCTCCAGGCCTCGTAGCTTCTATGATGATCCAGCATCAATCATTTCCCATCCACCATGCGTCGCTCGGATAGCGATCTTTCCCAGTCTTTTCCAGCCTCCGTTCATAGCGGGCAATTCACACTTGGATCATCCACGTGAATGACGCTTCGAGTCGTGTTATATAGCGCAAGGGTAGTGCTGAAAACTGTATGCAGCTACAACGCGATTCCGAACAGGTTCTTGTCAGATCATTGGTGCGATGGGTGCTGCTGTTCTACATTAGCCGAGCCATGCGGTGATGCGAACTTCCAATCTATTGCTTCTGGATGGACAGTACGTCAGCGATAGACTGCAAGTACATTCGATGAAGACATGCGCACGATCATGAAACTAGGTAGGCCTTAGACAGCCACTGTCGTTTAGGCGTTAGGCATGTGTAGTACAGTGAAAAGAAGCCGATGCAGCCCATCTAGCCGTTGCTTGCGTAGCCGACATCGGCGTTCGAGGCGGCTGAGCGCTGAGCCGTCAGGGGCAAGATCACTTGATAAGAGGCCTACAGGATCAGTAAATCGCTATCAGAAGATGATGATCATAAGCTTTGCAGGTGTTTCAACCCAGTCACATCACAATCAGCACCTCAATAGCAAACGAATTTGCACACATGAGTCCTTGTCCCTGGCGATTGTGTGGCAATACAGAGCAGACAGTGTGTCGGCATCCAGGAGAATGCGACAGCAAGACCACATGAGAAGCAATATGAAACAGGCTCAGCTATCGGGAAGGGGCATAGGTGATATATGGTAACAAAACGTTCTGGAGGAAGATATGAGTCTCATACGGTGGAGAAGAAATTCTAGATACTGGAGTCCTGACAACAGAATCCTGGGCCAAACGATAAAATGGTCCCACCAGAATGAATCAGTCCTTAATGATGGTCATTAGCCTCTACAGGCCGGTAGCTCATGTCAATCCAACTGGCGCGCGACATCCTGCTAGCGCCGTCCAGCTCCACCATCCCAGCTTTGCGCAGCCTGTTCGTTGTTGGCTCGTTCACGCGTGCTACCTCGCTTGTTAGAGGTGTGTTGTCCGAGACCAGCCACATAAATTGAAGGACGCCCATAGCGTCTACGGATTGGACCTCGACCCCTTTGTTTGTGCCATGAGTCAAAGCAAGTGCGAGGCAAAAGAGAAGCACGGAGGCGCTCAGCCCGAAAATTATCTGGACAGCAGACCAGGCTAGGCGAGTGAGCAGCTTTCGAGTGGACGAAGATCGACGTACAGCTATCAAGTCAAGCTGTAGGCGCGCATCAGGATATTCAGCGTCGCTGTAGTACGCAACAGAGGACGAACATTTAATCGAGACATTGTCAGAGAAGTGCTGGTAGTCGCACGAACAGTTCGGAGATAATTGCCTCGCGAGCTGTTCGACAGGACATGAGTAGCTATGGCAGATTGAGCACGAGAGTTTGGGATAGTCTGTAGAGAACGAACCCGCCCAGAATAAAGTAGCGGTCAAGTCGCCTGGAGAGCGATGTTACAACTGATTTCAGCATGAATAAAACGTCGGGCGGAGCACCTAGGGCATTTTCGAATTGTTTCAACGTAAGAGTGCTCGTGTTGGAGGCTGCAGAGAGAGCCTGCATGAGGTACCTGGGACAGTGGGTCAGACCATACAGCCACGCCAAAAACTCTGGAACGCAACTGCTCGGTTTGAAGTGCATCGAGATAAATAGGACCAACGCCGCTGTATGTAGTAGTGGCAATCACGCTTGAATCGCTGTTTGCACCTTCCAGCATGTCCGCCCACTGAAGCAAGGTCAAATGGATCAACTGGGATGGAGGATAACTTCCACGTACTGAATCAACATCGGGATCTTCATAATCATGCGCATGTGCTTGTATGACAGGGGACCACGTAGTCCACTCTGTTGATTGGCTAACATTTTCTTCGAGCGAAACAACGTATCTCGTGCTGGCATCCACGATCGCGTGCAGACGCAGCCAGGACAATGTGCAGCCTATGATTTGCAGATCCGCATACGTATATCCTGATGGCGTTTGTATAAGCTGGCAACACAGTATGCAAACAGCGAGAGAAATCTAGGATGTAGGAGCCGTTTTTCCCATTGTCATCTCCAACGCTGAAGGTCGTTACAAAGATCGCGTTGCGACCCTGGAATGGTCGGTGTTTTAGTGCTCTTCGCCAAGCAGAACGCGTGCCAGCCTACCTGTACCAGTGTTCCATTTGTTGCTTCATTGTACCAAGTATACTGCTTTACCACTTTCTCGTCTGTCGACAGTTAGATCAGTCACATTCTTTCCGGCAAGTCTATGCAACAACACACCTAACAAGCCATTTAATTGAAAGCTGATATTGTATCCGTTGTATGCAGAGTTGACCTCCCAGACGTCATCTTCGTCGTTCGGATACAGTCTCACCGCAGTGGCGTTCGGCATCGCACTGCAAGTCACATCTGCTGTCATTGCGTCGACTGCCACGTCTCCGATCCCATTGTTAGGATCTAGGATGTCATAAAGCGAGCTGTTCACCAATCCTAGAGTAGACTGGTTTCCGACAAGCACGAGGTACGATAATAATTCGCAGGCAGGGGCCCAGACGTCCAAGGTATCAATGCTGTCCAGGCTGGGACGATTGTCAGTATGTAGCGAACAAAATGCCAGTGGAACATTTATGCATACGAAGAGACGTTTTGAACTTGGGGCATCCCTCTCGTGAAATTCACAGGTATAGCGCCCGTCTGATTATAGGCGTCCATTGAGAATAGAGACGGCGTGCTGATGTGCACTGTCGAGAGGCATAGCAAATACACGGTTACGCCAGAGGTCCCGATGACCGCAGCAGGAATAAAGAGCTGCCTCCATAGACTCAGCAATGCCGATCCTACCCCGGTCCAAGCGCTGGCGATATCATGAATCGCAGTAAAGGTGTGGCGGTGCACCAGCAGGCTGCACAGAGCGAGACGTTGAGTTAGGAAGAGCAAAGCTGCAGTGTACCCCTGTGAAAGATGAGGAATAACAATGACTGGCATGAAGCTCTGTGAGTGTGGCGCAGGTGATGACGCACTATCACGAAAACCTGGGACACTACGACGATACGTGTCGACACTTTGCTGCCTTTGTCCAGTGGCATGACAACAGCATGCTCGTAGTGACCGCTCCAGACGACCAGCAAGCACACATGCAGGATCACAAGGAGAGCATGTAGCATAATAGAGACGGAATGCAGTGGTCTCGAAAACGATATGACCTGCATGGACTCGCAGGACCAGCAACGACCAGGATTTTAGAGGGTAGTATGAGCGTCTGTCTCTGTGCGTAGCAGCAATTGGGACAGAGCTCCTTGAATTATTGCAGTAAGGTTATGTAGATTTCGGACATTCCAGCGCCTTGCATCGTCGCGAAGTCAGCAAGACTTCTATGATGAACTGGTATCACTGCCCCCATACGTTGCGCCCAGACTGTGATGTGAGTCGTTTGCGAACAGGCCCCTTCCGATCGCCAATGGCAGCGTCAGCATCAGCATATCGCTCGTGATTCGCGAGTGCCGTTCCTGACTCATCATGGCGGTCGATATCATTCGTGCAAGGCAGTCTCTAATGAGACAGTGTCAGGACTCAATCGCTGAGTGACCCACTAACTCTCTGGGTAAACGACAACCGCATGCTGTGTAGCATAAGAGACGTACTGGAGACTGCGTGCAATACAGCGCGAGCATGCACAACAGATTCTTCTCTGTCCTTCAGGTGATAGTTGATGAGCGCTGCGGCTACGAAGAAATCAGCAGATCAATATCAGATACCGATCGCGAGAAGAGTTCCAGATGCTCCAGCCCCATCGCATTACACAGAGCATGCCAATGGCAGAACCGTATACGAGTATGTACACAAGAGTTCTTGTCCTTGATGGTATGCGATACAGAGCAGAGCATTTGTTAGCAGATACCAGAACGTGATGTTCCAGGAAATACTGCCTCAGCCTACCCCCCAGACTTCCAAGCCAACGCACTCGAATCTCACATTCTCGCCTTGCCGCGGACCGGCCGAGCATAGCGGGTCGTTGTCGAACGTCGGACATCGCGCCGAGGAGCCGTCGATCAACGAGTTGTCGAGATACAAGCCATAGTGGCCTTCGCTGTAGGAGGACGGGAGGGCCGTATTGTTTAGATCGGTATACGGAGAATCACTTTCGATGTATCACTCACCCTCCTCCAAATGATAGATACTCCGGCTCACACAGTGCCACATAGTCATTCTTTCCCGTCCATTTATATATCCGTAGTCGTTGGTCCGGAGGGAGCTTCCACAGAAATCTAGGCAGGATAGTACGTTAGCAACGCTACCCGACATATCCTAATAGGACGCCCACTCACGACTCGCCACTACCGTAATATGAACCCTTGGATGGGTGAATTCCTTCACCCATCCATGCGCCAAATAGCGTGTCGCCGGAGTCGCGGATGACGAGTAGCGCACCGCCTACATGGCTTTGACAGCGAGCGTATAAGGTGTTTAACGAGATACCGTGCTGGTCGAGACTATAGAGGAGAGACCATATACGTGGAAGACGCGCCAGAGCCGGGAAATGCGGCCGCAGCTAGCAGCAGCCGCAGCATGTGCAGTTGAGTAATGAGGACGGATTAAGAATGCAAGCTCATCACGATGCCACTCACCATATCGGCCACCTCAACGGTCAAGACAGGCGTCGTCACCTCCTTTCTGCCCATGAGTCGCACGCTCTTCTTCTCGACAATACTCTTGTCGAACTCAAACCCTTTATTCCACTCTCTGTCACCAGCAAACCCAGGCGCGCCCGACGCGGGAACGAAGGGGTGAGAAGCGAATGGAGTCCCATGAGTGATCGCATCGTCCACAGGGATTGAGCTCGCGAGTGGTGGATTCGGCACCGCCTGAGGAACAGCGCGTGAGAAGCCGCTGACAGTCTCTGTCACCTGAGAAGGCAGCACTGCCGGCAGAGTTTGCTCGTGCAATGCATGCTTACGCTTTGCATGAGCCTCCTCATCTTCGGCATCTTCGTTGATCGAGCGAGGCCGAGATAGCGAAGGGCGGACGGCGGAGGACAGAAGGGAGGTAACCCAGCGTGATGGTAGAGAGGCTGGAGTGAAGAATGATGACTGCGCCTGTTGTATCTCGGGATTGGAGATGCGGACCGGAGATGCTAGTGGAAGTGATGGCGAGCGTAGTGGCGGTGACCGCGATAGAGTCATACCAAGTTCTGATCTGCTCTGCTGTCGCGTTACATGGTGAGGCTGTCGTGGGTCAGGATCTACAGCCCTGGGACTGACGTCGTTTACAGACTGTTCTTGTGGGTGCGTGTCTGACATGGGACGCGCAGCATGTGAAGATGGCGGAGTAGCAGTTGCACGCCGAGAGCCTTCAGTACTGCCGGAGGTATGAACGAAGTACATGGGGTCATCTTGGTGTTCGAGAAGCTCAGTGAGCAGACCTTGTTTGTTCCTCTCCGTCGCAGCCCTTGCCCCCTTCGTGAATTTGTCGAGGAAGTCGACGTTTTGTATGGGTGGGAGTGATGCCATTTCCGCGTTGACTTCGGAAGCAGTGCTGTGCAGAGGACCTTCCGAGGACGGTATGGAGACAAAGGCCCCAAACTCGGAATCTGTGGACGCCGTTCGTGCGTGTTCGTGAGATGGTCGCGAGACATCTGAGCCAGCGAGGCTTGTTGACGGAATGGGCGAGGCCCTGGGTGTGGGAGGGGAGAACAGAGTCGCGAACAGATCGTCCTTGTCATCATCGTCGTCGAGCGTCCGTGAGCCTTTTGGAAGTGGCGTTAGAGATGAAGCCATTTGTGCTGCGATGAAGCTAGGTCCGTCAAGCAGCTGGTTCAAGTACAACCTCTAAAGGATGCAACTTGACCGCAAGGAGCTGTAAATTGCCAGTACGCGAGCATTAATGAACAATGAAGCTCACAGTTGAAGCACGAGGCGTCCACCCTTGGTGCATGCGTGTGAGCGACTCCGCCGAGTCCATGTTGGATAGATCCGCTCACTTAATTAAATGTCCAGATATGCATGAATCCGTTAACCGTTTGTGTTCGGAGTAGGGCTAGCACGTCGAGGAATGATTAATGGGAGGCAGCTGTCGACCTGCTGCTTGACGTCTCGCTCTGATGCTGAAGGAGGTGTCATTTAGGCGTCTATGACCACTGCGTCTCGTGAGTCTTTTTGAATCCGTTTCAATTAAAGCTTTGAAGGCTTGATCGTCAATTCAGTTCACGGATTTCCGGTTGAATAGTGTTCTTATTCTTGTTGTGTGACTTTCAGCCTTTGGCCCTTTCTCTGTGACAACGTTAACAGCCTTCTCTGTTTCGACGTGTCCCAACTCTCGTCGGTCACCGCCGAATTCCTGGATACATGGTTCAACGACGTGCTCGGACCAGGAGTTTCTGTTGAACGTTATGCTCGTCTACCTGCATTCCAGTCAAGTGGATATCTTTGCCTCGAATCATCAGCATCGGTTTCTTCGCAGGAGCCATTGATCGGCGTCCAAGAGAGTCCATCGGGCGGGACCGATTCTATTGCGGAAATTCTGAGAGACTCCCAAAGCATACGTGCAGTGTCTTTCTCGCTTCATCGATCTCATAGCATTGCAATATCTGAACTACGAGTCGCGACTATTTTTTCTGTGGCTGCAGTGTCTCAGTTACCCTGACCAATCTTCGCCACATCATGAAAGAGAAGTACCCGCAGGCTCTTCATAAGCTTGGTCGTTCTGATTGTCTCTGATAACCTTCGCATCACAGGCCGCAATGGATGCGGATCTGAGCCTTTTTCTGCTCGATTGCTAGTGACATGCGAGAATCAATCCGTTATCTCGCCACGCTGCCTTCGCCCTCTCCGAAGGATGCTCCACTGCGGTTAACGTCAAGGGCGGCATCACTCGTATTGTCACTCGATTCTGCTTTGCGCAGAGGTATGTTGTGCAATTATAAGCGCAACAACATCCCACCTCGTGTAGAGCAACGTCATAGTAAAACAAACCTAGTGAGACTGTCCGTATCTGTTTCGCAGAAAGTCCGCGCCTCCATGCGTGACGCGCGGCAGTTTAGAGAGACGACTACAAGCTCATCAAAGGACCCGGGCAACTCCTATATAGGAGTGTCGCAAAAATCTTCCAAAATGAGCCTGAAATATGCAAACTTTCGGGCCTCCAGTATGCAAAGTGCGACAAGACCCGTGACTATGTCACGTTTTGTAACGATACGTCACATCCATATGTCACGCTACGTCAGAGTCAAAAACATACGGATTCGTTTGCGAGCTCGCCCGCTACTCTCACATAAGGACGTTGTGATAATAAAGAGGCTACATTGAGTGTGTATCAAGCTGATGTTTGTCGATGCCATCATCACAAGGGGTGACATCTTGAAGAAAAAGCCACAGATGCATTCAATGTCATCATAGAATATTCTTCGTTGTTCATTTAGGATCAGAACAAGAAGGTCTTGATGAGCAAGCTGCAGATTCTGTATCTTACAGCTTCATGAGATTCAAGTGAGACTCAGGGGAAGGAGAGCTACACAAGTCGTAGCAGGAAATTAGGCTTGGATGTCACAAATTGCGCATGTACCATGATGGTTATCGGGTCAGGAAATTATTTATTTTACGTCAATATATGGCTACATGGTGGCCTTGTCGCATCAATGGGCCTTGTCGATCAATACCAGTGGTTAGCCACCTGGACATGCCTAAATCGGGAGGCTCTCCGACACCCATCAGGTCCCGAAATATGCTAAGTTGCGATAAGGATAAGGGTCTTTTTGGAGCTTTTTGGGGCCTCCGAGGTCTGAAATATGCAATCCGCGACAAGGAAATCACGATTTGGGGCCCCTCAAATATGCTATTTTGCGACACTCCTATATGGGAGTTGCCCGGGTCCTCTCATCAAGCTAAGAATAAAGCGGAGGGAATGCCCACCGTTGGTGATGCCGACGAGCAGATGGCACCGTTCGTGCCCCGAAAGACGAACTCTGGAAATCGCGGATGGTCGCGGTTCCACCTTCGCATGACAAAGTCAGACATCGTCCAAGACTTCCGGTAGACCATTATGAGATTACTAGCAACATCAATCTCAAGCCTTCCATGCACGGCATGTACAAAAATGAATGCATTCAGCGGGAATCGAACCCGCGGCGGGTCGAATCAGACGGAGTTGGCAACGACCCAGGTTACCACTACCCCATGAATGCCTGCCAACAAACTTGTAAGCTATAAAACATTATGAATATATATCATAATACCTAGCCTGGTGTCGTTTCCTTTCCTGCTACGACACCACTTTGTAGAGATCCTCAGCTGTGATGACACGCGGATCACTGCATGGACGCTCGCCTTGCAGTCAATCTATCTCATGCTGGTTATTGCTATGAGTGTTTTCATCCACACTGCACAGTATCCGTCAGCTCACCGAAACGCACATCGCTTCCATCTGCCATGCTCAACTATTACCTCCTTGCTTACCAGGGTTGAACACTGCAAATTACTCACCGTACATCTGTAGGCACCGGTCTCTTACGGCCCTATGCACAACGCTCGGGCTATAAAGCTTGCAGATAGTCATACGGTTTTCTGGTTGTCCGTTTCCCGGCGAGTCTATCATTGACCATCGGACATGGATGAGCGCGCCCGTTTAGGTTCCGGTGAGTTGAGATCCGTTCCGCCAATGAAGCTCATGCGTCCCTTGATTCAGACAAATAACGTTGTGTTCCATCGCGGACATGATTAAAAAGAACATCAGAAGGCAGAATACAAGCTCTTTACTCCAGTCACCTGGATTTGGCTCTGATTCCAGCCTGAGGTCATGACTGACACAAGGTGCATGCTCGCCTCCGCTGCAGTAGACGTTGCTTCGATGCGCCACTGCTCGAATGTGCAACTCTGTTGGCCGTAGTAAGACCGTGTACGTGTACTCTCCGCTACTTCTGGGAACGGTGCCCTCATTGATTGACAAAACACTCAATGCCCTCGGAATGTGATTCGGCCTCTGACCAGTCAGACCGTAAGTAATCTATATAAAGACCTATGTTCCGCTCTCTCTGCTGACAAGCTCCTGCCTCTATCGTGTGGTTTCTTAGACATTTGATAGTAGACTTGACGCTTTGAGACTTGTATCGACAACGGTCTTTGTTCGAATGCGCATATATCACAAGCAAGTATGACTTACAATCCGATTCGCCCTTCAATCGTTTTAACTGCAGAGTTGAACGTCGAAGTTGTGACTTAACCTCACTGCAATGCAAACGCCGTAGGTCAGGCTCGCTGGACTGGGCGCCCGAATGTGGTCCTTTCTCCTCCAAAAGCCCCGCCGTCAGCTGCAGTTCTATTACGGCACCGTGTCTCAGGTCCCTTATTTCGGTTCAGCAACGATTTTTCTGGCATTGCTCCGCATGTACAGGTTCTCATAAGCCAAGTGCCGCGACAAAGCAGGAGCTATTCACGCCCGTCTCCGTGTTCTGAAACACGTCGCCATCATTGTTCGTTCACAATAGGAGTATCTGTTCCACCGGTCAGGATTACTCCGCAAAGGTTTGTTCTACAGCGGCCCGTTCACCAAGACGTATTAACAGGTTGCGGACGGAGCTCATGATGAACTCTAGTTAGTTCTGGACAACTGGCATCGCCCAGGAATGGGACACCTGCTGGAGAGGAGCATAAGGCGACAATAACCTCCGCCTCCACTTGCTAAGACGAATAGAACTCCGGGCGGTCGCTGTATATGTCGGAAATAAATTAGATAATTGTGACAGATGAGGCGACTAATTTACGCTCGTGAGTAGCCTAATACGTCCTTCGTGATCATTGGCTCATTTCGTTGAGGGGTACATTTCTTCGTCCGGTTGCGCGCCCACCGTGAGCCATGTCCTTAAAGTGCTTCGTGAATGTAGCCGATATCCTCTGCACACGAGTCCTCCACCGTACAGCAGCCCGATTTGCTCGGCCAGGAAAAAGTGCTGGTTACCTCTGTCTTCGGGTGGCTCTCGGAGATCACCATGACATCGAAGGTAACACCTGATGATCTGAGCACATACTCTAAACAATTTCCATAAACGCTGATCTCCGGACACGTCACTGTATGTTCCAGCGAGCGCAAGCCATTCTCAGCTGAGTTGATGAAGCGGCTTTCCGGGTACCTATTCGGGTACAGGCGTGGTGCCTCGCCTGAGCCGATCCGGAGAATCATCATGTGCTGTGAACTCAATCTTTCCATTGCTTCCATTGACGTATGCGATTCTGCCGTTGCCCCTTCCGTCTCGTGCTAATCACTCTATTGTGGTAGGCTCGCGTTCCAGCAGGTTCCTTAACATTTATCTAATGGCACGACGGACAGGGACGTACACTTGTTGCCGACCACTCGTTCAGGAAGAAGGACTATCACTGCGTCAGCGCGGATCTTGCGATATTCAAAAGCCTTTTGCATGACCAGGTACACCGTTCGCATTCGCTGCCACTCCTCACGGAGTCGCTATGAAACCATAGACCCCGGATATCACCATTGCCCAGTCTCATCATCGGGCCGAGCGCTATATTCTGTGGACGCATGCCGAGGGCATGCACACTAGACGGTTTCTGCAGAGAACTATAGAAGGCAAGGCCTGGCGCATCTGTCTTGATGCAGGAGGTGTCCATGCCACGCGCATTGTCAATCTGTGAAGGTTACACGCATGTTTGTCCTCACGGCTCCAGGAAGGTATGACTGGTACACACGTCATACGAAACCTTGTTTTACAATGTTTACGCGGAGCATATTTGGTAGGCATGTGTTGGTTCCCGAAGTTCTTCCTTCACCTTCTGCGTCATGGGCTACGCAGTGCGTGGTCTTACGTCTACCCCCTCCAAGACTCCTCCTGCGAAATCAGATAGTATAACACCTACCTAGACCAAGTCTATCGTCAGGCCTCCTTTTGTAGATGCTGATGATCCTTGGTATACTGGACTTACCATTGTGAGTTGAGCTCGGCATGTTATGTTTTCCGATATCGTCCTACTTATAATCACGGAAGCAACTCTTATGCAACGTGACTGCCACGGCGGGTATTGCTATATAGAAGCAAACGATGGATCTGAACAAGCCGCGCTCATTTTCCCAACGTTACCGCTTCCTGCTGCCCACATAGGACGTTGTTTTCGCTCAAGACTCTTGGTAACAGTGCTTGCGCCGACGACTATCGCTCATCACCGCCAGAGAGGCTTGTGATGTCTCCCACATCACCTGCGCACTCAGCTACCTCTGGACACACTACCATAGCTGCGCTTCGTTAGTGCTCCTCTTATGCATAGTACCGTCCGCTCATGTGATACAGACCTACGCGATGCCAAAGACGCGCACATCGTGTTTGAGGCCGTCCGCCTCAACCTGCTCCCTCTGATTACTCGAAGATTGACTGCGGCCGAGCGTGAGCAACTATGCTCTGGGAACGTTTTCGTCTGGGAGGAAGCAGAACACAAGCAAGGTAGATTCTCGATTGTCTTGTCGAAAATGGTCTTACCACATTATGCATCAGGTGGACTGGAACGTTGGACAGATGGCAGGAGATGGTGAGTCTTCTTTCGTGCGACCAGCGAACTGCTAGTTCTGAGTCCTGCTTATTGCAGGTCTCAGAGCAGGATGCGAGGCGATTACCTCTTCTACGAGGAGAAGATAGAGACAACACCAGAGGAGAAGGCCGCCAAAGCCGCTCGTCGGTATGTCGCCTCTCCGCCTTATAACGGACCACGGTTGTCATCCCCGGTGCCTTTTCAGAGCACGCAGGACGTTAGACCCATTCAACTATCAGCCAGCCCCAACGCGACAAGACCGCCCGTCCAAACCAGATGGTCTGACCAAGCAGACGTATTCTACGCACGTCTATAATCAGGCGTCTGAACCGAGGAAATGGCACGTTGTGGCATACTTCTGTGTAGGTCACAGCCTCACACGTGTGATGCTGGCAGGCAGTCTGACGTGTGCATACTTCTAGGGCGACGACTATACCCGCCTCCCGGTTATCGAAGACTATGACTTTCTTCGAGACCTCTGCATCCCCGATGGTATATTCTCCTCACCTCGAGGCAATCCCACAAGAGTGAATCGCGCACACAGCGGAATAGACAATGAGGATTATATTCGAAGCGATGGCCAGTGGGCAAAGGTCCCATGGTCGCTTTCATCGCCGGCATCGGTCACATCGCCGATTGACAGACCGGAGTCTTCGTCGTCGTCGTCGTCGTCATCGACAGTCCTAACCTCTTCCAGTGAATCGACCGTCTCACATCACGACACCGGAAGCGCATTGCCTCGTCTCTCCAATGTCCTGTCTCCACACCACCTCAGCATACCTCTATCACGCGGCCTTCCAAGTCCTTCTGGTCCGCCAAGTCCGACCTACAATGCGCTGACCTCCGAGGACCGGCGAGCGTTGAGTAGTTTTCGGGTCATTTTGTAACGTCATGGCACATGTGTTTGGACCACAAGCGGCATCTTCAGGGATTTTCTTGGGTCAGTGGTGGACAGGTCTCATGGTCATGGGTTCTGTCGTCATCATTGTGTAGTTGTAACTCTATCTATCTTGTCCCGGCACAATGGAGTGCAGGCTGGCGTTTCATGAAATGCGGCATCGGCTGCAGCGCTACGGCCATGCACATGTTCAACGTGGGTATAATGGATTAATTGAAACGTGCGCATGTGTTCCCGGTGTCTCAGCGGCTCTGCAAGCGATCAAAATGCGCGAGTGTGCAGGTTTCACGTATGATAGACACGCAGCATAGACACGCAGCAATTCCAGCAAGTTCGAAAAAGAGTAATCGCCCCAACCGAACGTCATGGAAGCACGGTGATGCAGATGACATCGTGTGAGAAGTGCGGGCAGTGCAGTTCTTCTGATTTCTTCCCGGTCCTCGTTCTCGCCAGCAGGCTCTGAATATGATGGAGTTCGAAGCTTCGAGAAATATGACGTAGCTCTTGATCGCCTCTCCCTACCAAGACAAACGTGGTCCAGGGCCAGAGTTGAGACGGTCGTTTAGTCGTTAGGGTACTACCCACAATTACAGATTGGGTCAGTGAACAGGAACGGAATACATTACGAAGGGAGAGCTGGATACGTGGACGCACCCACTACGTATAAACACATTGCGCATCAGAAATAGATCTACGTCGTATACTCTCGGACGTCAGGACCAATTCACCAGCTAGCTGCCGAAGTTCGCCCAATCGACATCTCCATGTCTGTCTTGCCGCCGGCCTCTACCAAATGTAGCAATATCGGACAAGTGACGCATGGTAGGTCTCCCGTGAGGGCAGTTCCATGGCTGATCCATCGTTCCCATGTGTCGTATAATCTGAACAGCCTCAGTTCGTGCGTGACATTCGGATACAGGCAGATGTGGGGCTTACGGAAGCCATTTGGGACCGGGACAGGGGCATGCCAACCATAACGCTCTTGCGACATGCACGCATTGCAAACATGGACCGTGCTTTCGAGCATCTGACCATCTGCCCCGCTGGCCTGTCATGCATCAGGTGGAGCAGCTCTTCTAAGTCTGAAGCTACTCCATGAGTCGGGAATCTTCACTGCGGGGAAGCGCTGACCTTTAATGTCGAAAACTGTGCTCTTGCTCGTAGGTTGCGCCACCAGTTGAAGCCGATGTTGGCTTTCACCCGAAAGAACGTCTTCATTGGTATCAATTTCAAAACCATTCTGCCGCAGGACGTCCATGTTCTCTGCAGCAAGTAACTCGTCTGCCGCAGTGAGCTCTAATGGCTGTGGTCTGAGTAACTATTAGCTTCTTAACAAATCGCTGCGGTAAGTGGTTTTTACCGAAACAGCTTTTGCGAGTCTATTTTAGTTGTCCATTGCAGCGTCTCGAAGTTGTATTTCTCATCGGCTGCGTGCTGGTCAACGATGAACAGATCATCCATGGCTTGAGCACTTGCATTTCCATCATTTGAATCAGACCGGGATGGCGATGTCCGTCTCCGTACGATGATGAATCCAAGGTTGAATTGCCCTACAATCTGCATGGAAGTGAAGTCTGCCTTGGAGATAACACGCGATAGAGCTTCCGCCGCTACATTATCATCGTCTGCGTTGGTTATGCCGGCATCCTGCGGCACAGACGATATTGCAACGTGTGTGTCAGAGCCACCTACACCCGAAACCTTGTCTTGCAATCGAGACCAGCGCGAAGACACGTGTTGTATTTCAAAGTGGAAAGTAACGTCTTCACCGTCCGCGCTCCGTATGATCTCGGGACGAGACGCACACGTTGTATCAGATGGGGAGGATATTGTTGGGTCGGAGATGCCGGCCTCCGACTCAGGCGCGGTCGCGGAATCATTAACGACATCGACGTCAGAGTGGCTTGATGAGCTTGGAATGCCACTTTGATCATGTGGGGCGATTTCTGAACCATATTCGCTACGGCCTTCAATGCACGAGTCTTCGGCAGCGTCATTGTTTTCCGTATATAGCACCACACCTTGCTGTTCATGAACACCCAGCTGATCCGATTCGCCCACTAGCGCACCCCCCATGCTGGTGATTGATTCGTCCATATCAACGTCCATTATTTGACTGCCAGTTCGAGCAAAATTTCGTAATTTCTCACGGAGGTCCTCTCGCGCATTGCGACCCTCCTTGCCCCTAGGAGGGCTGCTTGTCTTACGTCGTTTGGAAGAGGGTATGTCGTCATCCGGTGCAGTGTGACGGAGATTCCATGCAACGCCGGTTGAGTTCAAGACCATCTGTACAGTCCGCGACCCGTCAGCAACGTCCGCAGGACGCTTCTTCCGAGGTGCAGAGACAGTGAGGAGTTCATCGCCCGCAGATGTAGACTCAGCGGCTGCAACGCGCTGAGTGCTTTCGACATGCGAGCTCATCGGCAGGTCCACCTGACTAGCAGATGGTGAGCCCGATTCCCATACCGCAGCTCCCAATTGCGTCATCGCCAACGAACCCTTGTCGGCGCGATCACATTCATTGGCATCGGGCGAATCAGCGTTTGCGCCCGTCATCGCACACGCAGATGATTGGGAAGAGCGCAGGGGACTCTGCTGGCCTGCCGCAACGTGTGAACTGGCAACCATTTCACGACCTCGAGGACCTTCGGAAGTCGGCCTTGCATCGTCTTCCAAGCCTGGACCTGCTAGCGTGGGAGGTTCGACAAAACTGGATGAGCGTCCATCCTCTGTCGCATCATCTCCGGCAGACGTCGCCACACTCCCGGACAGCTGCCTGTTTTGCAACAAAAGGGGCTCTCCGAAGCCGGCTTCGTCATGCCCAGCATTCATCTTGCTAATATTGTCAGAGCGCCCTGTTCCAGTCGATTGGCGTTGCTCCTCAGGACGGCCATCCTCGCCTTTATTTACAGCGTCGGATTCGTCTTGGGAAAAGAGGCGCCCCCGTTCGATCGGACGTTCAGGCCCTCGCTTTGCCACGACGGGGCTTGATGTGACAGAAGAGGAAGCAGGGTTGATGTCATAAGTGGCTCGGGAGGCAGCAAAACTCTCTTCCAGGGCGGCCTGACAGAGGGGCAAGTTGAGCATGACGGGTCGTCAGGACGCCTGGGAGACCATATTGTTTAGCAACTCACCTTGAGTGCCTGCACAAGGTTATTCTCGCTATGCAGAAGAATAGTTCGTTTGTCCGGACTGACGTTCACATCACAAGAGTCTAGAACCACAAGAGGTGGTCAGTTCGGCCAACCGACGAACAAGGTGACTAACATATTAAGAACGCAGCGATATGAGAAGATGAGATAACGAAGGCGACGATCTAGACCTCGCGAACAGGATTCTATCCGAAGGACCGAATTGGAACTCACCGGTGGGAAGGATGAAGTCGGCCACGATGAAGGGTGCTTGGTTAGCATTGAAGGATCGATAAACCTCGTTGAACGCTTTCTGGACCTGAGAAGCGGCGTGTCAGCACACTTCAGGATTAGCAGGATAAGAGATACCTTAGGTGGGTTGCACGGCCGGCCGTTGATGAAAAAGAACTGTCGGTCTGTGGCTGTCCGCCCACAGCCAACCGAGAATTTGGAGACCAATCCGCGTACGCGTACTTCGCTTGAATGACTGGACAGGGGGCACGTCATCAGGCACGCGACCCACAGCATGCATGCCAGGGCTTACTCAGCGCCATCAATCAACCGTCGCCTCCTGAGCACAGAGCGCTCTGTCTCGACAGCAAAACACAATTCGAGCTCGACCAGATTCTCCAGAGCTTTTGGGCCCCAAAGAGCAGATACCGAGCTGCGCGTGGACGGTGTACCATCTGTTCGAAGCTGCACGGATTTCTTGCTAGGCCGACGATCAGCAAGAGAGACCACGACCGACAACGACGCACATACCCGCCACTGGGCTGATGCGTGACTGTGAGGCGCACTCCTCTGTTCTCTTGCGCGCATGGAATCAAAGCATATGCAGACAGCCATGCGAGGGCCTTTCCAAATTCCCGTTTCGCATTGCGCTCCAGTTCCTTACGACGCACGGGCAGTGGCTTGAAAAGGCCACTTATAGAGACTGTTGTCCCTCGCTGAAGGTCCATGGCAATGATAAGCCAAGAACACGTGAAGAATGGCTATGTAGCAACGATACCTGCCTCGCCACCTTCCCACTTCGGCTGCTCACTCGTCCTGCACGATCAAGTTCGATGACAGTGCCCATTGGTGATTCAGCGGCGGTTGCCGTAACAACGGTCACTTGCTCAGCAAGAGCACATAGCGATGAAAGAGCTTCGCCACGGAAGCCAAATGTAGTTAAGACGGTAAGATCATCGAAAGACGACAGCTTGGAGGTGTGGTGCTTCAGAGCTGCGAGTTTCATCACATCATAAGTTGTACAAACATATTATTGCAAGCGCTGCATCAGTACGGCTCACCAATGGCGTCGTAATCCTGAGGAGCTATTCCACTGCCGTTGTCTGTCACCTCTATGAAATCCAAGCCGTGATCCTTGAACCGCACCTCTGCATGTATCTCACATTAGGCTGCTATGCTTTCATGTGGAAGCGCTCAAGAAAGACTCACCGATAGACGTTGCACCCGCATCAAGACCATTCTCTACTAGCTCTTTTACTGCAGTTTGAAGATCGATTACAACTTGTCCAGAGGAGATGCGATGAACCGACGATGCGTCGAGAGCCTTTATCGCTCCAGACGATGGTGATGCCATAGAACAGCGCAATCTCAGTGCACACGTTGTCGGATTACTTGAAGCGCTGATGGCGGTCCTGATGGGAGTGGCGAGATGGGTGGGCGCCCCTGTCATCTTGAGGCGCGATCACATGATCAGCGGGTCTCGCGTCGCGGAGAACGACCAACCTAATGGTGCAGATTCCGGCGGATTTCTACCTCGGAAGTAAGGTGGCTCACCGGCAATTTCTCGTAACCTACATATATTTTGGAATGTCTAGCATGAAATCCTGTGACAAGGTCACTCACCAGCAATTTTTGGTGATGTAGATACATTTTTGAATTGCTAGCATGAAATCCTGATAGGTCACTGGCAATTTCGGCTGGCCTTGGATATGCTGTAGCATGAAATCCTGGTAGTACGGTAGCTGACCTGCAATTTCTGGTGACTTAAATATGCTTTTATATTTCTACCATGAACTCCTTGTAGCTCACTGGCAATTTCTGGCAACCTAAGATACATTGTCAAATTTCTAGCATGAACTCCTAGCACCAAAGTAGCTCACCGGCAAACTCTGGTAACATAGACATGTTTTAAATTTTTGGTGAATCTGACAGATTGCTGGATTTGTACAGCGAAATCCATTAATGTTACCAGAAATTGCTGGTGAGCTACCTTGCTACCAGGATTTGATGTCTAGATTACAAGAATCTACCATTAAGCCATCTTACTTAGTGAGTTTCATGGTAGAAACCCGTCAGCAGCAGATTCCGGTCCATAAGCATGTTGAAGAAGTACTGTGCATTATTGATGCTGCTTCTCAAAAGATGGCCTAGGTTACCTGCAATTGCTGGTGGGCTATAAGGATTTCATGGTAGAAAGACTGCCTAGATTACCTGCAATTGCTGGTGAGCTACAAGAATTTTATGATAGAAATTCAGAAACACATCTAGCATACCAGAAATTGCTGGTGAGCTACTGTACCTCGAAATTCAATCACATATTTAGGCCACTAACAATTGCAGGTGAGCTACCTTACTACCAGGATTTCATGCTACAGCATATCCAGGCCAGCTGAAATTGCCAGTGACCTACCAGGATTTCATGCTAGCAATTCAGAAATGTATCTACATCACCAAAGATTGCTGGTGAGTGACCTTGTTACAGGATTTCATGCTAGACATTTCAAAACATATGTAGGTTACGAGCTGTTACTAGAAATTGCTGTGAGCCACCTTACTTCTGAGGTAGAAATCCGGCAGAATCCGCTGGCAGATTCTGCCGAAATCTGCACCATAGGTCAGACCTTCATGCATCGCGAGTACAGTGTCACTGATTTATGGCTACATGGTGGACGGCTCCTTGAATGGTCCATACATTTCAATAATCTAGTAGTGCAGAGCTACTGTCACGGTAACACCGGACAAGAGATCAAAAAGACTAAAAAGGGACAGTCACGTGGAACGTGCTGCCCTGATCTCCCTGATCCCAAAAGTATCCCCCTGAACCCTATGTGGCGCAAGAGCCTGTTGACTTACTGGTCGACGTGGCAGATGCAGGAAAGGGTGAGAGATATATGAAGGAGCTGGTGAGCTCAGTGAGTGCTATGGGTAGTAGACGAGGAGAAACAATCTGAGGTTTCGTCCCCTACATGGCTGGTCTTATATACATGTACAGCGGGCTATCTTACCTAAGCTACCTATCTACGGGTATAAGCAAATGGCCATACATGAAACAATAGGATGTCCGAAAGTAGAACAATAAGTGGGAAGATCGATGGTTGCCGCAGTAATGCGTGTGCACATCGTGCCTATCTTGGTTTCCCTTTTGTTCTCCGGTGTGAACATCGTACCTATCTAGGCTTCTGGCTAAACTAATAGGAAGCGGAAGGCCGATGCATAACAATAGTCCTTGTTCCCTTTGTTCCCAAATGGGTGCCTCTATTGTATCCTGGAATAGACAGGTCCGACCGTATCATCCACGGGTCTGGACCATAACATGTGATGTGGACTATCACCTGATCTCTACGCGTCACGTCTGTGGCTGAGTGGCGTGAGATATTGGTGAAGCACGTGATCTGTGGTGTGGGAAAAGTCACGTGCAGACTTTTGTGGCAAAAATCTGTGACACTACCCCCCCTCTCAAGGCTCATTGTCCCGAGGAGCCAAAACCTTTATTACCCCTTCTAGTTGCTCGCAACGGTTGGTAGCTTCGGGAGGGAAGCCCTTCTGCATAATACTCGAAGATTATTTGGGCTATTCTATCTCCCGGCTTGACCGAAAATACGAAATCCGTTGTGTTGATCAATACGACTTTGAGTTCTCCAGTGTAATCTGGATCGACAACTCCTGCGCCCACGTCAATTCCTCGTGCAGCAAGTCCGCTGTGTGGAGCTATTCGTGTATAGGTATGTTTGGGAGGGTCAATCACGACTCCCGTTCCTACCACAGCTCGTGAATGCGGGGAGATTTCATGCATTTCTGCTGCATAAATATCCCATCCTGCTGCTTCATTTGAGGATTTTTTTTGTGATTTGGCAAGATCTGTCATCTTATGATATAGGAAGAACTCGTCTGGATGGTCGAACATATTGATTCGGTGTGTGGAGATCAGTGCAACTTCATATGAGGATAATTCGAAGCGTTTTCCACCAAAAGTGACGACCCTGATTGGTGCTTTGGCTGCATCTGGGTGTTGCTGGTGGAATTCGTGAAGAAGTTCGTCGACGTTGGTAAGATTTGTTCGGGGTTCCCATGTATCGTCGAAATGGTCATAGCCTTTCCATTTGATGAGGTATTGGACTCTTCCCCTTATAACCTTCGAGTCTAGTATTTCCTCAACTTCGAATTCTGGTTCTCCTTCGATTTCTATGGCTGGGGGCTTTGGGGGTTCGCGGTTCGCAATCGTGTCTTGATGGTACATGATCAACTTGCTAGCATGGAAGACTGGGTGGACCTTCATTTGCTTAGGCAGTTCCAGTTTAAATGTGACTGGGCCTAGCTTCTGAAGTACTTTGTAAGGTCCGAAGTTTTGTGTGCCTAGCTTCGCGGACTTGACTTTTACTCTGAGATCCTTTCCCTTGAGTAAAACTAGATCTCCGACTTTGAATGGGACTTCTCCCTTTTTCTCATCGAAGTACCATTTCATTCGTGAAGCTGAAACTTCCAATGCTGCCTTTGCCTGTTCTTGTGCCTCAGATCAGTGGGCAAATAGATGTTCCAATGAGGGATGACGTATTGATTCGTGTACGTCTGGTGCCATTTTTGGATGTCGGCCATATTCGACAAAGAATGGGGAAAGTGCGGTGGATTCATGGGTCTGGTTGTTGTATGAAAATTCTGCTGTCGGCAGGTAATAGACCCAATCGTTCTGTCTATGGTTACAGTACATTCGCAGGTACTGTTCCAACACCTGGTTAACCCTTTCTGTCTGACCGTCTGTCTGGGGGTGATATGCAGTGGACATTGTTGACTTTATACCGAGCTTCTGGCAGAACTCCTGGAATAGTTTGCTCGCAAATTGAGTACCTCTGTCTGAGATAATTTGGCGTGGCAATCCGTGGAGTTTGAAGACTTCGTTATAGAATACGTTAACAACTTGCGACGATGTGACTGTATCATCCGTTGCATAAAAGTGCGCTCGCTTTGTGAGTCTGTCCACGACGACAAGTATTGCCATCTTCTTCTCTCCCCTAAAGTCCATGGCTGGAGGAAGTTGTGTGATGAGATCCACTGTGACGATCTCCCATGGTCCTCCTGGTACCTCGTTTGGTTGTAATAGTCCGTATGGTTTTTCTCTTGAGTACTTGTTGCGTTGACAACTGTCGCAACCTTGTACGTATTGTTTAACCATTACAGACATTCCTGGCCACCAATAATTCCGAGTAATAAGCTCCAACGTCTTGAACCTGCCGGGGTGTCCGGCTGGTAAGGTGTCGTGATGGAGCTTTATTAGGTCAAGGCGTAGCTGTTGATTCTTGGGGACATAAACATTTCCGCGATGGAGCAGCAGTCCGTGCTCAAAGTTCCATTCTGCGAGGTTTTTCTCAAATTCGCGCTGTCCTGTAGTCAAAAGCGCACGATAATCCTTGGTTATCGTGTCGTCTGTGAGTGCCTTCTTGATCCTTTCCAGTAGTTGAGCATTATCAACTTCAGATGCGTGAGCGGGTCGAATCGCATTGATAGCGAAAAATTCAGATTTTAACAGCATTTGGTTCGAATTGTCGCTGTCTACCCCCCTCTCATGGTCTGGCCTCCTGGACAGAGGATCGGCACATAGCATAGTCTTTCCAGGTCAGTGACTGAGAATGAAATTAAATCTGGTGAGGAATAATGACCAGCACGCTTGGCGCCGGGATAATTTCTGTGCCTGACGGAAGTATGTAAGGTCGAGATGGTCCGACCAAATCTCAATGGGTTCTGGATGTCCTTCTAAATAGTGCTGGTATTCTACGAGTGCCCGAATAATAGCGAGCATCTCCTTGTCATAAATCTCGTAGTTCCGCTCATGTTCGTTGAGTGACTTAGAATAGTATGCGACTGGATGCCATAGCTTGTCTTCCTCTAGTTGTTCAAGTACTGCACCAGTTGCATAGTCTGAAGAGTCTGTCTCTAGATGGTATGGTGCAGTGTCGTTGGGGAGTTGTAGGATCGGGGCTGAAGTGAACGCCGTTTTAAGTGCACTGAAGGCTTGGTCTTGCTCTTCCTTCCATTGCCAGGGTACGTCCTTACAGGTGAGAAGCGTTAAAGGTCGTGCGAGTTTCGCAAAGTCCTTTATAAATTGCCTGTAGAAATTCGCGAATCCTAAAAAGGCCTGTACTTGTTTGACCTTTGTCGGTGCGGGCCAGCCAAGTACACCTTCGACTTTAGCAGGGTCCATCTGTACTGAGTTCTTGCTGATGATCATGCCAAGATACTCGATTGAGGACTGTTCAAAGAAGCATTTCGCCGGTTTGGCATATAAGTCATTGTCTCGGAGGCGCTGTAGAACTGCTTTCACTAGTCGTCAGTGTTCGTCGAGATCGTCCGTAAATATGAGGATGTTGTCTAGGTAGACTACCACCTTTCCAGTGTGAATTAAGTCTTCGAGGACTGTATTCATCATTGTTTGGAAGGTGCTAGGAGCATTGCAGAAACCGAAGTACATTACAGTGGGTTC